GAAGGTCTATCTACTACACGCCTGGAAATTAATGGTCTGAGTAGATCTGACTCTTTGGGGACCATTGAAGGAGTTGCTCATAATAATGAGACTTCATCAGAGTTGGATCTTAATCATCTTAAACCTACAGCTGTAAAGATTAGCTCTACGCCAGTCGCTAGTTCTAGCATTACGCAAATTCTTCACCTGGTGAGTTTAGTATTATCCTTTTTTTTCTGGTGATGATAATTGTTTTATCAATTGAGTTTACTGGGAGATTATAGATTGTTGGACTTCTCGTAGTTCTTATTGTGTTTCAAAAACTTCACACTTCATGAATGCTTTCTTCTGTACTTCGTAGATCTGCAATGGTAGTGACGAGAGCCCTACTGCCGGTAAGCTCAGTGCACTTCAGCAATTAATTGAAATTTCTGCGGCTAATAATCTCTTGATTTGGACCAAGGTATATTTGTTTCCATATAAGTTTTATATAAGTCTGGTTTAATTTTATTTCCTTCTCTTGAAAGTTTCTTAACTTTGCAATACTCTTATGAACGAATATGTCCTCTTCCCCTTATGTCAAATATGCTCTGCTATATTTCACGCACATCAAGTTGTAATATTTAGTTGTATTTATGCAGTACTTCAATCAGATTTTGACAGCTGTACTTGAAGTTTTAGATGATTTTGATCCCTCAATCCGAGAACTTGCCCTATCATTGATAGTTGAAATGCTTAAAAATCAGGTTTGCTCATATTTTCAGTATATAATTATTCAGACATTGTCTAGGTTTTCCTTTTCTCTAACATACAAGTGTGCTTATTTCCTCCTTTTTTTGGCTTGTCATGCTTTCAGAAAGATGGTATGGAAGATTCTGTTGAAATAGTAGTCGAGAAGCTGCTTCATGCAATGAAGGATATTGTTCCGAAGGTAATTTACTTTCCATGAACTTGTCCTTTGAGAATATTCATGCTCCTTTTCCGTATCTAATTTGTCTGCTCCTTGTTTAGGTTTCAAACAAAGCTGAGCACTGCTTGAACACTGTCTTGTCTCAGTATGATCCATTCAGATGTTTCAGTGTATGTGGTTCTCTTTCTCATGTCTGACTTGTTTTCCCTACTCCAAATGAAGAGAAAGTGTTTTGGAATTTAACTTCTGGTTTCAGGTTATTTATAAGTGCTGATGTTGTTGAACGACTGGGGTTGTAGGTTATTGTACCTTTGTTAGTTACTGAAGATGAGAAGACTCAAGTTATTTGCATAAATTGTTTAACAAAGGTATTTATTCTGAATCCTAATTGGAGCTAAAATTGTTAAATTTAAATTTAATAAATTTAATTATTCTGAATCTGAATCAGGATAAATATCCAGCTTTTGTTCAGATATGTTATATGCTTGTATAAAGTTAATTGTATTCCTGGGAATTGTCATTGCTTTCCTGTCTGTTTGGATTGGAATTTTGTTTGCTTTCCTTTTGACTGTTTCATTTTTCCTAAAAATAAGTTGTGCGTACAAATGTTAACTGTTGACTATATATTTCTAAGCTCTTTGCTTTTTCTGTTCAGCTTGTGGGCAGGCTATCACCGGAGGAACTAATGGCTCAATTGCCCTCATTTTTGCCTGCACTTTTTGAAGCTTTTGGAAACCAGAGTGCAGATGTCCGTAAGGTAATACTTATGTTGCTTCATAAAATTGTCATTGTATGGAAATGGCTGAAATTTAGGTTTTTATTGGTTGGGGAAGTAGAAAGAAAAAGATAGGAGTGGATGCGGTGGGGGAGGGGCACTTGAGTGAAGGAAAGCATTTTATCATCTTGTGGAAGAAAATAATTACTTCTCTTTTGCATTATCATTTACGTTAACTAGCCACTTGATCCTTTCTAAGTGATATGGTTGCTGTCTGAGATGTGGCCTAAAAAATTAGTAACAAAGAATTTTCTCATAGAAGACACATCTTTGACTATGAACATGTAGGATGTGTTATATGTTGATATTTGGAAATCCATGAATCCATTCAATGTGTATGGATGCTTTTATTTTGTCTTTTTAATTATATGTGACTTGAGCTCTACAAAAGGACGTAGCTCTCTCCTATCCCATAATTAACTTCCCTCTCCAAGATTAGAACCTTAGACTTCCAATTTGAAAGTTCAAGTTTTAATGGTTGAGATGTCTCTGTGGAGACACAGAGTAGGGATGATGAAAACAAGTCTAGCAATTCATTAACTGTTTCGCTTGGCTTGTTAATAATCTTTTTCAGCATTTAGCTTTTAGTTCAATAAGTTTAGCATAGAACTTGAATCTTGCAAGCTAAGGCCATGTAATAATTATATCATTATAATTTATAAATATTACTATTTTTTCCATTGTTAATTTTAAAATTTTAAGTTTATCATGCCACCAAATTTTTGTTTGAGTTGCAATTGACTTGTGTTTTATGAGCATTCAAGCTGAGTTTGGACTTCAAAAATTCTTTTCAATCTGAACTGAAGTTTTGAGAGATGGGCCTTGCCTGAACTTAAATTAAATATTTTAGCAAAGCTCCAGCTGATTGCTGTTTTACTTGGGTTGGTTCAGTTTTAAACAGAATCCAGCATTCTATGTTTATGCTGGGTAATCCTTGGCATCAAAATCCTGTTTTCTTAATTTTCTATTTATCATCCAATAAATGCGTAAAATTTTTAACGGTTTCTCTAAGATTCATTTTCAACGCCAAAAATCTGCTTTTGGGAATTATTGTCTAAGCCTCTAACAGAATATACCTTAGATATCTTGTCAATGATATAGGTTTTGTTTACTTTGTCCAAGAAAAGTAGGAATGTGCAGTCAATTGCAACTGTAATGTTCTTACTTCTGGATAATGGTTTATGACGTTACATGCAGAAACATTACATTTCAATGAATTGTATCAGAATGGCTCCATCTCGTAACATGCAAATTATTGAAAGGGTGCCAGCCTCTCGTCCCTTGTCTTATAGGTATGAGTCCCATTGGCTCCTATTCCATGTTATTGGAGGGTGGCCAATGCATGATCCTTATGGCCTAAGCCAAAGGCTATAGTAAAATTCACTTTAGAACTCAGATGAAAGAGCAGGATCCTGCTGTGAGAGTAGAATACATGAATCAGGAAAAGATACTGTTTCTGTTTACAGAATCAATGGTTAAAGTATATTGACATGGTGCATGGTTGAGAAGAATAATAGATGAAAGCATAACCTCATAGTTTTCTTCTCTTGTACTATGCTTGTTGTTGTTTCTGCTAGAAGCGAATGAACTTTGTATTTCCGCATGTTTTAAATTCTTAGTATGGTTGTCATTTTGTTTTTGCTCTCTTTAAATCTCGTTGAGTCTGAATCTGATCTCATTGCGTGTTAATTGTTGATGGTACAGACTGTTGTTTTCTGTTTGGTGGATATTTACATAATGCTTGGGAAAGCATTTTTGCCACACTTGGAGGGGCTTAATAGCACACAGTTGCGGCTGGTGACAATTTATGCTAATCGGATCTCACAGGCCAGGACTGGCACCCCTATAGATGCTAACCATGATTAGCTGGTTCATTTGGACAGGGAGGTTGGATTTGGGAAATGTTTACTTATTCGTTGTTGTGTAATTTGTATATTGTGTGAATGCATTTCAAGGGGTGATTTTTGTTTTGTTTTTTTTTTTTTTTTAAAATATATATTTTAGTCCAATTTCCTTTGGATTGCTAGGGCTTGGAGGGAGTGTTTTTGGTGGGAATCAAATAGGGAATTGCACTGTTGTGCCCAAGTTGTAATCACCATTTTCTTAACATTGTCTTTATATTGACAAAGAAATATGGGTTTGGAGAATTTTATATTCTTGTATTACGTCCATTTTTTTTTTTTTATCAAAAAATAGCTAGATTTTTTTAAGTTGTGGAATTTCCCTCCATGGATTGATTTAGTGTTATTTTAATTTATCAATGCAGTGGCTGTTTTCCGAACTATCCATCAGGCAGGGCCAATATTGGGCATGAATGTAGAGATTTGAAGTCTCAAAATCTGGTTGGTACCGAGGAAATTAGCTCATAAAAAGCGAGCTATATTTGTATTTATTATTTGAAAGTGAGCGAATCTCAGTGGCCAAAAAAGAATAACATTACGGCTTCTGACCAAAATGACTTCATCTCGATACAGTGATACTGTTTACACTTTTGAGCCAACGTCTGATCCGTAAGACAATAGATAAAATTGAGTGATAATTAGTTTATATTATATTTAATTTATATTTAAAATAAATGATATACTTGTAATAAAGATTAATTATTTTTTTGATATTAGATAATTCAATATTTTTAAGGAGGAGATAAAAAAAGATAATTTTAATTAAAAAATAAAATATTTTATTATAATCTTTACATATATCAAATAAAATATAAATATTATTATTTAATATAATTATATTCATAATATTATTTTATTTTATTCTATCATAATTTTGTATATCAAATTCATTCTAAATATATTTACTAATGCACAACAATGAAAAGCATAAAAGGAAAAATCTAGTATGCGAATCATGTGGGACAGTTTGGTTCTTTTTTCATTACATGACATTGTTTGCTAACGTTTTTTAATGTAACAAGTATTAGCCACAACATGTGTGAAATTCACAATGTTGATGGGTCTACAAACGTGTGGATTGTTTCTTTAATATAAATTCTTTCAAAGTGATAATTTTCAAACGCTGAATTCAACAATAAATTGACTACAAATGTATTGATTGTTATATAGAAAGAATCATGAAAAGTTGGTCACTGTATTCAAAGAAAAGAATTGTAAAAAGTAGTCACGTCACGTGCAATGGAGATGTACAGATGCTAGCAAATCTAATTAATTGCACAGAGAAGACAAAATCTGGTTTCCAGATTATGCATTCAGAATTTCCATAACTATGCCCACTTTCCCAATGTCGCACCTTTACATCTAATTATTTTTTGTCCCACTCTTGCAAAATTTGCTCAATGGAAATGGAAAGTGAATCCAAAATGTTAATCCTTTACCAGCTATATAAACCTCCATGTTGCCTCTTGCTTTGACATCAAAATAATTCTTTAATTTGTGGTGCATACAGGGTTTTCAGCTGCAAAAAACAATGGCACCTTCTGAAAATCTAGCTCCTGCAGGCAGGGCCAACACGGGAAATGGAGGAGGAGCACCTAATGGAGTAGAAAAGCAGCAGCGCTGTCAATTTAATGAAGTGGTCCTGAGGAACAGGCTGACTGCCCTTCTTGTTGATGGTAACAGGTTTTGTCGGACGATCGAGCAAGGACTTCTTCGCGCTTATGGAGTTGAAACCCTAGCTGTAGACAATGGCAGGGCTGCGGTTGAGCTCATTGCCTCGGGGGTAAAATTCAATCTCATTGTCATTGACATGCTTCTTCCTATCCTGAATGGCCTTGAGGTACCTAACAAACATTACTTAAATTTGCTTGAGACAAATCCCATTGATCCTGTCATTATTATTATTATTATTAAAATATACTAAAAAAGAACCGTTTCATCATCTCTTCTTTATCTTCCATGTTTTCATGGCAGGCCACAAGGCAGATTCGTGCCATGGGGGTGCGTTGCAAAATGCTGGGAGTCACTGCTTGCTCCTATGAGAGAGAAAGGGAAGCATTTCTGGCTGCTGGGGTTGATGTGTTCATTGAGAAACCCCTCAGTCCCGAGATTTTGGTACCTATCCTGAGGGAGCTAGATGGGCAGTGAGGATGGCAACGGAAGACACAATCCCTCGGATCAGAGAACTTTCATGTGGTTGTTGGCTGCCCAATAAAAATCTTACCAGCTTTAATGTATTTAGCTGTTTTTTATTACCTTCGAGCGTCGTGAGTTTTGTGTTGTCTAGCGTTTTTAATAGCTGTCGTGTGTCGCTATGTAATGTACCAGTAATTACAAGAATAAGATTGTCCTCTATTATTGCTTCATTTTCCTCACAAAATGGCTTGATTCAACCATTCCTATCTCTGTTTCCTATGCTTATCTTTATCTTAAACAAATTTTTTTTTTTTAAGAACGAAATGCCATCAAATGACAAGTCATTGGCTTTACTACGAGTTTTATAGCCATTGTAATCAAAATAAACGTTTTAATTATCCGCCACACTCGCATCATAAATTCTATCTGAATCAGTACACTTACCGACATTATTGAATCAAAATGGTCTTCTATCTTCCACCATTACACAGTTCCTTGTTTCATTTTTAGTTTTTTATTTTATTTTATTTTTATTTTTTCCTATGGTGTCATCTTTTCAATTGATGAACAAGTATTAAATTAGTACAAATAGATATAAGAAGAAATTGAGTTGCAAGACGGGGCCCAAAAAATCTACATCATCCAAAAGTTTTTTTTGATCAATCTAATCAGACATTGGATGGCTCACAGCATTATGCGCGTTTGGTCGGAGCTAAAAATAGTAAAAGTTGCAATAAATCATGCATCTGATTCGCCTACCTAAGCAATCTCATATTTCTTTATAATTAAACTAAAAGGCAAAAAGAATTTGTGCATTTTGTTTGTCCTTCAAATTAGATTTAAAAACTCTTCTTTGATTTAATTTAATGGTAGATGCATGTATCTCTTGTTTAAAGAGTTGAGTTCAAATTTAATTCGTTTTTAATTAAAAAAAATTGTGTTCAAATTTCGTCGTTTTAGTTAAAAAAATTAAATAAGTGCAATTTTCAACTGTTCCTAATTCAAAAAGTTTAGTTTAAATCTCGGCTATTTCTAATTAAAATAATTAAGTACAAATCTGGGTTTCTATTTTTTTTCATTTGCGAATTTAATGAAGCAATAAAGAAAAATAAATAGGGAAACAAAAACAGAAACTAATTAAGCAAGAGCTAGCAGCAGATTTGGTTCCATATACAATTAAAGTTCATCTATTCTGTTTTACAGCAGATTTTTTTTTTTAAGATGCCCTGATGTTTGTTTCATAATGATATCTCCCAATTATGGGAAAATATCTCATTTTATAGATTTTGTGATTTTCTACACAATCCAACTGATACTGTTCCAAAACTCATTTTTCACTCTCTTGCTCCTATAAACGGCTCAATTTAAACCAAGAATCCACCATGGGAACAACTCATCATTCTCTTTGGCTGCTATCTTCATTGTGGTTAGTATTATAATAACCTTTCTTCAACCCAATTATTGCTAAAGCTTGTTCATATAGGTTCACTGCATATCTCTGTGTAACTTGGTCAAGGTCTCAAGAAAGGAGAGGTCTTTTCCTCATAGTGCTTAAGATGCAAACGTATCTAAAGATATATTATTCTTTGATTTATTGAAACCGGTCAAAGTTTAATCTCAACCAGGTCATTCCTAGTCTAATCAATTACACTTAATTATTCACTAATCCTTTGACCAAAGTAAATGCTTTTAGTTTGTGTCATTACATCCTTTGTCATGTTTTTGTGCATAAAAATATCTCTGGTTTCTCCGTCTCATAAAAGAACAGAATATGTGGTCTAATGTTGGCTTTTCTTTGATTCATAGTCCTGCAATTAGATTAAATGAAACTCACAAATAATTTGTTGATTCAGTTCATAGGAAAAGTACTCAATTCCTGGAAGCTGAAGCAGAATTAACATGGCGCAGAGCAGACATGGTGTGAGAAAAGAGCAATCTAGCAAGATCACCGCACTTGTTGTGGACGATAATATGATCAACCGAACGATTCACCACAGGCTCTTAGACAATCTTGGCATAGAAAGTGAAGTCGTCGAAAATGGGAAAGAAGCTGTTGATGTCCATTGTTCTGGAAAAAAGTTTGACATCATTTTAATGGACATGGAAATGCCTATCATGAATGGCATTGAGGTAAGAAAATGTTTAGTTGATTTCATTGGTTTTTTCTTCATATATAGATTTTTGGTTACAAGATTATAATTGAACATCAGTCTGGTTCAAATCTCTGTTTGATTTTGGGAATGTCAGGCGACGAGGAGGCTTCGTGAAATGGGGATTCGAAGCATGATTGCAGGCGTGTCATCGCGCTCAATGGAACAAGAAATACAAGAATTCATGGAAGCTGGTCTGGATGACTACCAAGAGAAGCCCTTGACAATTTCTAAACTTATCTCTATGATCAGGAAGATGAACCTCAATTGTTAGAAAAAAAAATGACAAAAAACCATCAAGTTCCATGGCTTTTGTTGTAGGATGAAACAACTTAACCCAAGTCTTTCTACAGTGATTTGGTTTCCATTACAGTTGTAAACAAGTTCTAAGTTATTTTAGTAATGGTAAATTTGTTTTGTTTAGCCTCACCCAAACTTTTGCTTGTCTATTAAATTAAAAAAAAATCATATTTGATGTATTTTCGGCATGTACGTGTATATCTTTTGCTTGAGATAGTAAAATTTTATTTGAATAGACGATAAAATTAAAATTAATAATAAAAATTACTGTAATTATAATTAAAAAAAATTATTGTAATTACAATTGAAACAAATTAATAAAAAAATTATATTGATTAAATCTTATTTAAAATAGACATTTAAATTCAATCGCATCTCACCAGAGATGCAATGAATCCAAACCTAGGCTAAATGGTTCCGGTAAGAAATTACTTTTGCTTTGGAGTAATATTGTACATGATTCTACAGTTCCTTCCGAGGCTACATTCATGCTTACTAAAAACTTGCTAGAAAACCTCCATCTGCAAACTTCCAATCAGAACGATCAAGACATACAAATCAATGAGGCTGGTGAGCCCACACACGAGAAAATGTTGTTTCATGTCGTTTATTACAGAAAAAAAAATATTTTTTAACAATTAAAATTGTCAAAAATTAAATTTTAATATGGAAACTAAAGGTGCAACACTTTAGTAATTTACCATTTGACTGTCGGCCGACAAATATTTTTCATTCCTTGTAATTAGTAGAAATTTGGAATGAATGCTAGAGCATGTGTGATTACCCCAAACTTTTCTCCAAGGTCGAATGGAGGGGGAACTCAGATCAAACACCTGACCTTGACTAATAATTCCTTATAGGAGGCTGAGAATTTTTGTCAAAGCCTAAGAAAGTATAGTCTTTTTCTCGAAATTGGAATCACAAATTTTTCAAAAATAAAAAGAAAATAATATGTTGGAATGATAGGAAAGTATTCAACGATCTAACCCTAGACCATGATTAACAATGCCTGTATTTTTTAATTCTTATATGGGGACTCAAAATGTTATTTGGATCCAAAATCTTGAGATTTAAGAAACATATATTTAGAAGTAGCAAAATAAGCGGGCAGCCTGTGGCCTGACATGACCCAGCCTGTTATAAATTGTGCTAGCACGATTCATTTTGTTATAGTATTTAGGAATATCATTGGGTAGAGTATGAATAGTTTAAAATATTTATTATCCACATTTTCGTATTTTTATATTATATTTATTTTCGTATTCATATTCAATAAATATTTTAAATTTATCTCCATTTTTATTATCACGAATATTTAATGAATATGAATAATTTTTATATTTTTAAATTTTTTAAAAATAAAAAATAATTTTTTTATTTTTTATGTTGTATATTTAAGTAATTTTTTATTAACATATATTTTTTTCAATAAAATATATTAATTCTAATTAATTTAAAATAATAATTTATATTATTTAATAAAAAATCATTTTACTAAATGTATATAAATATATAGAGTACGAATGCAGGATGAGTACTATATTACTCGTCCTCATCCCCATACCCAATAAAAATTTAAAATTATATCTATCTCTATCCTTATATCCATAATATAATATTCATTTTCACTCTTATTTGGATAAAAATTTAGATTCTCTATTAAATATTTTTATAGATAAGATTAATATCTCTAATAGCACTCGTGTCGAGTCATGCATGACTCTCTAAATCATATCGTATTGAGTTAAGTATTTCAAGATCCACAAGCTGACACGACATGAGACCATAATTAACCTATGTCCAAACCTAACACAACACGAGCCGTATTTTGTTGATAAAAATACAAAATTAATTAACTTTTTATGTATGCTTTATATGATTTTAAAATTTTAAATGAATATCAAGAAAAATGAGAATATAATCTTAGTGAGGATAAAATATGATTTTTAATAATTCAAAAACAGAAAGGTAAAAATTTTATTATATATTTTAATTGAGAAATTAATTTTTATTTACAATAAGCTATTAAGTTTTTATAAGAAGAATTAAATAAATTTGATATTTTATTATGATGAAAAAATAATGAAAAGGTTTTTTCTCTTGCTTTCTCTTATGGCTCATAATCCTCATGTGTCTTTGTTTTAATGCAAGTGAAGAGTTACTGATGAAAAAAATTTAATATAAAAAAAAAACTATTTGATGGATGATGGGTGAGTGTTACGTGATCATTATCTTATTTCTTTAAATTAATTTATCAAAGTATGTAGCGTTAATATTTTTATAATCTAATAATTTTTTTTTTATATCCGATATGAGATTAAAATATCTTATTTATTTCTCTTAAAACACTTGATGTAACACTAACATGACACAATCCATATCATTATCAGGTCATGAACCATATTAGATTGAAAATTTTTTAGCAAAAATTGTGCCTAACATAATCCATATATATATTTTTTTGTATTAGACCAACCCAACCTATAATAATGTCATGCCAAACATTGGGCCGTGCTGACCCATTTGATCCATCCTGACACCTTGACATATATTTTATCATATTCGAATTGAACGTGGAATCAATAAATTTGTAATGGGAACATATTCAAATTTTGTAAAAGAACATTTTGGGAGCATGATAATTTCAAAATTTTAAATGCACGGAATTGCCCCTCTCTTTCTTTGTTTTTTTTAATTTCTAAATTAACATTCTCCAAAACAATAAACAAAAAGCCGTGTCCATCGGATGACTGCCTTCCTTGACGGCTGACGCACTCCTAAACCCTAAACCCTTATAAAAGGTTCAGTTCACCCACATTTCTTCTAGATCCTTCCCTCCTCCCTTAATTTAATTCTCTCTCTCTCTCTCTCAAACCTCCATTAAACCCTAAAACTTCCTCCGCTGTTTTGCCACCGCTACTCCGCCACCATGTATCGCTTTGCCACTTCCCTTGCCTCCAAAGCCAGGTAAACACCCCTACCCTCTCTCTTTACCTCTTATATAATCATTTCCTTTTATTCTTTGGAATTCTAACTACTTTTGCTCCTTTTTAACTTGTAGGTTGGCTAAGAACAATACCCAATTGGTAATATTATATATTTTTATATATACTCTGAATCTCTTTCTCTGTTTTATAGTGTATTTTATTTTGATTTGGATATTTGTTTATGTTACAGATTGGTAATAGATTGAGTTGGAGTCGAAACTATGCGGCTAAAGACATTAAATTTGGTGTAGAAGCACGCGCCTTGATGCTTAGGGGCGTTGAAGAGCTGGCCGATGCTGTTAAAGTCACCATGGGTCCAAAAGTCTGTTCAGTCCTTTTTTCATATTGCATTTTCTTCTTCTTTGTTGACAATAGATTATAGCAAATATGCATATATAAAAGAAAATATAATTTAATGTAATCTTAATCATCGAGCAAACATTGATACTCTTTCAATATGTATTTTGGATGGTGAAAACTGGTAACTTTATTATTATTATTATTCGTTACTTGAAATTCACTTAAATAGGCATTTGCTTTTGCTGTTTTAGAAAATTTGTTTCTTCTCGATTTAATGTGAAAATTGTGCATTGGTAAAAATATTTCAAGCTTCACACAGTTTGTTGTCAAGAAGTGTCCTTTAACTCGCTGCTTCTAGTGGGCTATAGATTATTTGTCTATCTTTTCATTCTTCCTTTTTTGACCAATTGATGCAAAGTTGTTGAGGTTTTAGCCATTTCAGATCACTTGATATGATTAATAAGCTTATATTATAATTTTAGTTGAGCTCTTTTCCTTCCAGACATGAGCTGGTGCTTAGCAGTAGTTGACTAAAATTTGTTGCTTTTTTGGTTGACTTTTGCACAGGGGCGGAATGTTGTTTTGGAACAAAGTTTTGGGGCCCCAAAGGTGACAAAAGATGGTGTTACTGTAGCCAAGAGCATTGAATTTAAAGACAGAGTAAAAAACATCGGTGCTTCCCTTGTAAAACAGGTTGCTAATGCCACCAATGATGTTGCTGGGGATGGTGAGGGTTCATATTTTAAACTAACCTACTAATTTAGTAAATCATGGTTGTTAATATTGATTTTTTTTCTTTTCCTAATGGAGTTGATGGAGACCATAGAAAAAGACCTTACTTTTACTAAATTTGCCAAGGGTATGATCTTGAATGAGGTCCAGTGGCGCGATATGATCCATCTATCCAACCCTATGTTGTGAAAAAAGGACTTTGTTGTTGTATGATACCTGAGAAGATGTTGGAAATATAATATGGGACAATCTGGTTTGCATAAGCACGAGTAAAACATAATGAGATGGAAGTGTTTACTGATGTAAAGCTTACCTTTTTCACAGGAACCACTTGTGCGACAATCCTCACCCGTGCAATATTTGTTGAAGGATGCAAGTCAGTGGCAGCTGGAATGAATGCCATGGACCTCAGACGAGGAATTGCAATGGCAGTTGATGCAGTTGTGACGAACTTGAAGAGCAGAGCTCGGATGATCAGCACATCTGAGGAAATTGCACAGGTTTGTTTCAATGAAAATTGCATTTGTTCTAATACTGGAAGGCTGAACATTAGAACAGGACCACTATGAGTTGATCAGGTGTTGTATTGTCAATATTACTTATCATTGTTTCCTCTAAAGGTTGGAACAATATCTGCAAATGGAGAAAGGGAGATTGGTGAGCTCATTGCCAAGGCTATGGAGAAAGTTGGCAAAGAGGGTGTTATTACCATTGCTGTAAGTCATTTCTTGGATTCGTCTGTTTATCCCATTTTTTTTTACTTGAAATCTTATTCTTTCTAATCTATTTCATTTCCAGTTGAGTCATGTTCTGTATTTGCAGTGGTATTCAGATTTATGAATTTTGTTTCTCCCTTAAATTTTTTTTCAGGATGGGAAAACGTTGTACAATGAATTGGAGGTTGTTGAGGGAATGAAGCTTGATAGGGGCTACATATCCCCTCACTTTATAACCAATCAGAAGAACCAAAAATGTGTAAGTGTCTTAGCATTATACTGCCAGGAAGTGAGGGGGCTATTGCCTCCTTTTTGCCCTATAAACATAACCATCATGTGACAAACAATTGGTTTTATTTTGCCAGGAATTGGAGAACCCACTCATTTTGATCCATGAGAAGAAGATCTCAAACTTGCCTGCTTTGGTTAAATTTTTGGAATTGTCCTTGACGGTGAGTGGTTCTATCTGAGGAAATTGCAAATTTTGTATCATGTTTTCATGTTCATATACCAATATGTTGTTTTATCTAGAACCAAAGGCCTTTACTAATTGTTGCCGAAGATCTTGAAAGTGAAGCACTTGCAACTCTCATTCTGAATAAGCTTCGTGCTGGAATCAAGGTATTTTATACTTTTCCACGGAAAATACAGCTATTATACAGGGTCTTGCTATCAAGGTTGAATCTTACATTTCTTATTGTGGTTGGTTTGTAAGGTGTGTGCCATTAAGGCCCCTGGTTTTGGAGAAAATAGGAAAGCTGGTTTGCAGGATCTTGCTGCTCTCACAGGAGGCCAGGTAGGTTCTTTCTCTTGCTCAACTATTCATTACTACTTGAAACATTAGCCACAATATCCCTTACACCTATTTTCTTTATAGGTAGTAACTGAAGAACTCGGTCTCAACATTGAAAAGGTGGGAGCAGAAGTGCTTGGCTCTTGTAAGAAGGTTGGTTAATCAATAATATCTTCCCTACTAGTATAGAGATATGGTTTTCAGGCTACAACGGTTTGGAAGAGAATCTACCTTATTGTCTAGGTTTTTTTAAGGTGTATTTTGTTATTTGTTAGTCTGGTTGTGGATTTGTTGCTGACTTTTGTGGGCTGCAATTGTAGGTTACAGTATCAAAGGATGACACAATTATCCTTGATGGGGCTGGAGACAAGGCTGCTATTGAAGAAAGATGTGATCAAGTTAGTTTCATTGCAGTTTTCACATATCTTTGACAATTATCAGGCTTGTTTGCATAATAGCATTCAATCATTGGCTTATAATTATTGCTGCAGATAAGATCTGCAATGGAATTAAGCACTTCTGATTATGATAAGGACAAGTTACAAGAGAGGCTTGCAAAGCTTTCTTGTGGTGTTGCAGTTTTGAAGGTTAGTTTCTCTAGCGAGATGATAATTTATCAAATTTTTTGAGTATGAGTTAAATGCAAATAAGCTATGGAATATCTTAAAAAAATTTGATTGTTGCCCCTTAAACTGTTCTCTTCAAATGACGCACTGATGGAAGTTTGTTTAGTAGATTGGAGGAGCAAGTGAAACAGAAGTTGGTGAAAGGAAGGATAGAGTTACTGATGCCTTAAATGCAACCAAAGCTGCTGTGGAGGAAGGAATTGTCCCTGGTAGGCTTTTAAATTGGCATTGCAATTGGTTGATTTTGTTGGATTTATGTTGTCATGTGTTATATCAAGAGTTTACTATTCACAGGTGGTGGTGCTGCACTTCTTTATGCCTCAAAGGAGCTTGAAAACCTGCACACTGCAAACTTCGATCAAAAGATCGGTGTTCAGATCATCCAGAATGCTCTTAAGGTTCCGACTCATTATCCTTCTATCTTTTGTTTTCAATGGAATGTTCTCTTACAGAATCTTTATTCTCAGAATAGACAACAAGATATTTATGGCGGTAAATCTTGGGTTTAACTGAGAATGCTTCATAAAATAGGATTCCAATTAAATTGAGATTTGAGAACCGAATATAGTTTATGACAAGTGCCGAGTTTATGCTTCAAACAGTGGCTTAATTTACAATTTCAATCTGACTTCTACAGATGCCTGCATACACAATTGCTTCCAATGCTGGAGTTGAGGGGGCAGTGGTTGTTGGAAAGCTACTGGAACAGGATAATCCTGACCTTGGATATGATGCAGCTAAGGGTTGGTTTTCTTTTTCTACAAGAACATATTAGAAAGATTGGTGGTTTCAAGATGGTTTTGTGACTTGAAACTCAGATGAGTAATTTTCCCTTTGTGCTTGTATCAGGTGAGTTTGTAGATATGGTAATAGCAGGAATCATTGATCCATTGAAAGTCATAAGGACAGCCTTGGTGGATGCTGCAAGGTAATATATGGAAGTCTTATTATCTCCTATGATATTTTCCTTTGCGAGAATGGTTATATATATATATATATATATATATATATATATTTATATTTTCTTTTTGAGTCCCCTCGTGATAATTATGAGTTGTGCAATGCAGTGTGTCTTCATTGATGACCACAACTGAAGCAATCGTTACCGAACTACCTAAGGATGAGAAGGAAGGGGCAGCAAACCCAGCTGGCATGGGCGGCCTAGATTACTAAAGCTTTGAAGGCAGCCGGTAGAATTGGGATGCCGTGTTCGACACAAATTTTCAAATGTTGAAACTGTAAACATGAGAAGAGAATATTTTAGGCTAAGACAGAGGGGCTGGCATTCTTCATTGATAAATTTTTTGTCTCCCCTGTTCATTAGGTAATCCTTTTTTTTTTTTTTTTTGCTGTGGTCGTTTCTTGTTCTAACCCCTTTTAAAGATCCCCAACATTTCATAATTCTGGTGATTCATGGTGGCCCATTAAGGTTGTTCTTTGCACAGGTTTTTGTATTTCATGGTTAACTTATAAGAATAATCTTTACTTTGCATATAAAGGAGAGTACCTTTAAATTAAGACCTCCTTTGATTAATATTTTTATTATTTACTTTTTGTATTTGTCTTGCTTTCTAGAAAAAATTGTTATAATGCTCATGATCGGTGGAAAATAAATAAATTATTAAAATATAATACAATGAGTTAGTATTTGATATATTATTATTATTATAAAATTTTAATTTTATAAATTAGATTAAAAAATTGGTATATGTCTCATTTTTATTTTTAATTTTTTTAATTTTATTTACTTTTTTAACTCTATCTGTGGAGTTTAAAATTTTTATTACAGTAGATGAAATAATCTTTTAACAAAATAAATTATATGTTTTTTTGCCCAAAATATATTTTTTGTTTTGAAAAAATGTTCATTTTATATAATTATTTTAAAATTTTATTTATGTTTATATCTAATTATGCTTTTTCGCTTTCTAATCAAAGAAAATATAAGATTAATACCAACTAATAAGATAGTTAAGTTAATTTTAAAATTTTCCAAAATTTTTAAAAAATATTAACATATTATTAATTAAGGTAATTAAGCTTGGCCTTAGGCACACTTTTTTGAACAATAATTAAAAAAATTAATATTATAAATGATTATTAAATTATATATGAAATATTTAATACATGAATTTTAAAAAATTTTATATAATACTTAAATTATAAATATATTAATTAAAATAATATTCGTTAATTTCAAATAATAACACTATTCTAAATAAATAATTTTTTAATTATAATATTAATTAACAAATTTATAATTTAAATAAAATGTTAAAAAAAATTAAATTAAATATTTTCTTAAATATTTCACCACCAAAAAAAAAAATCTCTAAATAATAGATTATTACTAATTACTAAAAGAAAATTAAAACCCTAAAGAGGATGAAGTTAGGTCTAATCAAACAAATATAAAAACCCCCAATCCTAGCTTCGTCTGCATTTCCCTGCAAGTTTCAATCTTTCGAATCTCTCTCGTTGCCAGGCTAGCGATCCCTTGCAAAGGTAACTTCACAGATTCTTTTCGAATCCTTTTCTTCATCTCTTTGTTGAAATTTTCTAATTTAAAATCTTAGAAGCTTCAGGGTCGCATGTATGTGCGAATTGGTTAGGAAATCCTGATTGCATCCCAAATCCTGATTGCATTTGGGATGATGAAACAAATTTGCTGGTTTTCATAAACCAATTGCTGCTTCTGCGTGGCTATGAAATGTTTAGCGTACATTCTAAAACTATATGTTCTTTGCTGTTTTTAAAGTTTTTTCTTCTGTCAGTACAATATTAGTAACATCATGTTTAGAAGTTTTAATTAGTAGTCATGCGTTAGTTGAGAACATGTTTAAGACCTGTATTAGATTGTTGCTCCTTTTTTTCTTCTTCACATTTGAAGTTCATGATTTCATTGTGGTTGTGGGCTTGTGGCATCATCAGCGATTTCATTGTGGTTGTGGCATCATCAGCGTTGGCATGCTACGAACTTATTTATTCTACACAAGATTCATATGATTGAGGTTTCATTTAGTTTAAAATGTTTCAATCACTTGCAAATTGGGTGTAATTGGCTGTTCTGGAGTATTTATGCTGCCATGTATTTCTGTGTTTGTGCACTCAGGCACCCATACTGTTGCTGTAATGATTTGTGGCTTTGCTTCTATCAGGTTACTGTGTCATCTGCTGAGCTTAGAACAAAATCTTTAATGGGAACTGAAGAGACAAAGGACCCGTTGAAAGGGGTTGACTGGAAAGCAATTGGTAGTGAGTTGCAGAAGGACCCCAGTGCCGGTAGTAAACCAGTTATAAAGAAGCGACTTCCTAAGAAGATTAGACAAATTCCAGAATGTTATTTCCTTCCTCGAATGTCCACACCCTCTACTATTGCCTTCTATGGAGCCTGTATTGCTGGTGGAATTGGTGCTGGGATGCTGCTGGAGGCCTGGATAAACAAGAAGATTAAAGGTATACCTAAAGATATTTATCTTGTTTCTTCTTACTTTAAGAACAGGTAAGGACAAGTATCTTTTACTCTCCGCTAGGCAAAGTATATGCCTCAATAGATGTGGTACGAGCCCTTTGAACTTTTATTATTATTATTATTTCTTTTTTAAAAGCCTATTGGTTGTTTACATGGGATCAATCTTGACAAAAACTGTAACTGCAAACAGTGTCCAAGGATTGAGGCTACTGTAGAATGATCTTGTTCAATAATATGATAGGGGAACATATCCTGAGAAAATAGAGAGGGAAACCATGAGATTAAATTTTCCTAAAAGACTCGAGAGAAAGGGGAAAGTTGTCTGGACTGGCTCACACTTTATACCACGGGATATGAAGGGTGTACATGGCGGTCAACAAAATGGCTTTCTTCGTGAATCATGGAAGTTGGCCTTCAAAATAACTTTTTGCATGAAAACACCTTGGGGGAGGGGGGGCACTTTGTGTTTCTGCAAGCAATTCAAGTTCGTAATCACTGGAGCATGCATTTATGGTTTGAGATAGAGCTTGTAGCTAATGTGTCTTTTGCCCTTAAATTGCAGAGGATGGAGGTATAATATGGGAGTTTGACAAATAGGGCTTGATATCATTACAAGAGTTTCCCATCGTTCCCCTGATGAGATAGTTTCAACATGGGAGTCATGTTGCCAGAATTTTGATTTGTTTATGGCTGAAACACAATGCTCTTCTCTTTACTTTGGCTTCAGTTTGAATATTTGGCCATCTAAGTTAATAATTTGTTGAGATTAGTTGATTTCTTTTGATACATATGTTAAAATGGATATCAACCATCAATTGATCTCTCACCCTCTGAATCCACTGAGCTTCTCTTTTACTTCATCTATTTTCGGTACACACACAGTTCTAGGCCTGGATGGAGCCAAGGTGGCCCATGTAGGAATTCGACCCAATACGGGTAGGACTTAGGAAATTGAGTTTGCTTTGAATTGCAGTTGCCAATGGTAATATGATAGTTCTTATATTTTCATACTGTTTCCAAAATACAATATTTCTGCTTATGTGAAGCTCTCCAGGTTTAACATTGGAGAGAAATAGAAGAAAATTTTTTTAAAAAATGTTTATAAGGATTAATTAAGGTTAGTTAAATGTTAAGAAATATTAGTATGCTATTTTTATTAAAATTAAAAAATAATATATTCATTATTAATTATAATAATAACAATAAATTTTTATCCATTTTTATCTAATACCTACTCTAAAATTATCTTTGCCAAATAAAAGCATCCATGCGAAGCACTGGCAACATTCTGATGTTCTTTTTGAAGTATCATTTAAACTTGTGCTGAAAGGGTTAAGAAGTTCCTATAAAATTTATCAGAGGCAAAAAGAGCACTGCTTGCTTGCTTGCTTCTGAGTTTGTCTTTTTCATATATTCATTCATGGTATTTGTCTTATTGATTTTCTGAATTTTGTCATGACAAAATGCTGCTTCATTTGAGGAAATTAATGGACTTTGCATTCATTATTCCTTCATATATATATATATATATATATATATATATATTGATATATTGTAACCATTCCAAGGTCAAAGGAGGAAAAACATTGTTGGCATTAATGAAATTTCATGCATGGAATTTTTTATATATTTTTTAAAATTATATTCATAATCAAATATTGTATCCATATAATCAATTAAATAATCAATTAATAAATTATAATTTGATTAAACAACTAAATCAGACATAATAAAACTTGAACATAAAAATAAAACACTCTAATATTTAATTTAATAATTGATGCATATAATTCAATTTTTTCTCAAATTAAAAAATATTAAACAAATGGAAAATCGGGTATTACAATTTGAGTAAGACAAGTTTGTAACGATCCAAAGCAACAACAGGAGTTGATTTGATGAGACATTTCTTTTTTAAGTTTAAAATTGAAATGTTCATCGATGTAATTCTTACAATCTTATGTATGATTTTACTTTATGGTTTTATGCTTGAAAATAAGAAAGTAAATTGGTCAAATTCATCTATAATTGATTGATTCAATTAGTTAAGGTTTATTCTTTTTTACAAAAAAATATCGAATTTAAATTTTATCGATAATCACTTATTGAGATTATTTTGAATACATAATTTAAATTATTTGTCTTAAATTATCATGTACGATATATCTTGTCATAATATGAACGATTGAATAATCTATCTACTTAAAAATTTTTCTTACCAAAAAAAAATATCAAATTCTAAATTTATTTCTCTTATTATGCGCAAATGTTTGACTATTATTTGAGCCAATTAAGAAAATAAATTGTCCCCTTTTCTGGTGAAAACCGACTCTGCATGACAAGTGAGAAGCCTACTTGTGAAAAATGTAAATAGGCCTACCAAAAAGTAAAATAATAGAGGCAAGGTATCCATTATTTGCACACGACACCATAGTTAAAAACAATATATATTCCATCTTAATTTAATAGAATCAATTTTTTTTTTCTAAATCGAAGGTTAAAATTAAAAGTGATTTGGATTTTTTTATAAATTTGGAATTGGTCAAAATTGAGTTTTAGGTAATATTACCTTGATCCGGTCTGGTTATATATAAAAATATAATGAATTATATTAATTATATTAATAAAATTATTATTTAATATTTTAATTAAATATAATAATTTAATATAAATGTTATATTTAGGTTTAATTAAAATATAATTTATGAATATTATATTAAATTAAAATTATAAAATTAATTTTGAATCAAGTAAATTGCATTTATAAATATACAAATCAGATCAAATATAAAAATCAATAATAACAATTTGATTGAAACAATTAATAGTTAATGAAATACTTATATGGAGCTCAAAAAATTTTTATGTGAGTAAATAGAAATTACATTTAATGATCTAAAGTAATATCTGATTAAAACAGATGACAATTGATGAGACATTTATGTAAAATTCAAAAAATATTTATGTAAATAGATAAAATTTACATTTAATAATCTCAAACAGACATGAATTATATTTAATGATCTTAAGTAAATTAAATATCAATTAGTTAATTTTAAAATAATTGTTTTAATAAATTATTGGTAGAGTCTTGAGCGAATTTTTTTTTTTTTTGATAATTATCTCTTTAGTGCAAATGACGTAATTGTTCAAATGTGTTTCGATTGAAAAATCCAAAAATTTAATTATATTGTTTAAATTTTAATTGTTAATTAATTCACTTAGATGTAATGAGAATAATTATTGAAAATTGAGAATGAAATTTATTTTTTTGAAAACATGTTAAAAAAATAAATAATTAAAACATAGAATAATGTATCTTATACTAATAATTAAATGGTGAATGAAATCTAGTTAATTGAAAAAAAAAAAAAAAAAAAGGCAAAAGAATGGATTAAGGCAAAGGGGAGTTGGGACTTGAGAGCCTAATGAAAAGAGTGTGGGAAGAAGAGCCCACCTGGGCGGCACTTTCATAAAAAGAGTGCCTCCAACGAGTACTTGGCTTAACGGCATAAGGGTGTTTAGACAACGGAGAGTTGCTCAAGTTGTACTCGGCTTAACGGCACGAGAGTGGTTTAGGCGTGGAAGAGTTGCTCAAGTTTGAGGCATAATCTTTTATTTATCAAGATAAATTCTTGTAATTAGTGGAAAATTGGAGTTGGATAAAGTTCAAGATAGGGTAGAGTAAAATAAGAATTAAAAAAAAAAAATGAGTGGGTGATTGGGACGGAGGATAAGTGGGACCCCTACTCTGCACTCTCAAGTCTCACCTCCAATTTGCAAATTGTCGGTTCATTGGCCAACATGGCACGCTCCCCCTCGCCACGTCTTCACTTCTTAGGATGCATCCATTCTTTATTTTATTTTATTTTATTTATTTTCCCCTTATAATCTCTTCCTTTCATCAATTTTTTGTCTTGTTTTTCTCATTTTCAATTATTACTACTATTATTACTGCGATTATCTTGTTTGCTAAGATCAATTACAGCTTTTAATTTTAAAAACATTTTTCTCTGTAAATATGTTTTTGGAACATTCGATTTTTATTTTTTTTTAAAGAATCTATAATACACAACATTTCGCTCATAATTTTTTATCATAATTCTATAAATTTAATCGCAATTTAAAAATACATAATGATTCCAAACTTATAAATCAATATGTTTTACATAAAATTTTAATAAAATTTAATTAATTATATTATAATAATTATATATGATATGTTTCTTTATAATATAAATAAATTGATTAGAAAGATTTTAAAACAGAGAAATCTTTTAAATTGTTTTTTTCTTTGATTCAACTAAAAATGTCAAATATTTGGAAAAAAAAATCACAATTCGTACATTTTCTAAACTATTTTAGATGTAAAGAAAAAATCTTGATGGTTAATGAAGGTTTATCTTAATGATAAAGAAAAAGTCTTGATTAAAATCTTAGATTTTAAATTTAAATTCTATCAAATGTGGGTTTCATTTAATTATATATTAATTTGATTTATTTCTTAATTTTAATATGTTTAAAATTTATTTAATTATGATTATAATCTTTTAATATATTATTTTTTAATTTGTAAAATGAAAATCCTATTTAATATATAGTATATTCTGCTCTAAGCTCCTTTGAGTTGGATCAATAACCAAATCAAATTATATGTCACACTTAAGCGCAAGTACAAACATTTGTGCCCAAATAAATAATAAAAACAAAAGAATGTGTGGCCCTTGAAAATGCAAGCATAAGGATAAGATTTTTCTGACAAAATTTCAAGTGTCCAAATCTCCAATTTAATCAATCAGCAAGAGCCTCTAATTGATGAGCCGAGCAAAGCACCCAACTCTAACGTGTTTGACGAACAAGGAATCCAAAAGGCAAACCACGTTGGTCGTACAAATAAATTATTACATTTTATTTTATTATGTTGATTTACAAGTCAAAGAATCACATCAACGTAAGGAAGAGTTGTAAATCTTACGACAAAATCTATCAACTAATAATTTAAGAAATTGGTGTTTTAATTAACACAATAATAATTCCACTTATTCCATTCACACATTCTTATGATTTATGTAATTTAGGGTTTGATTCCTATTTACTTATTATTATTTATTATTACAATTTTCGGCATTATCTGTATTATTCATTTGTGCGTAATTTATTTAAAATTTATGAAATTTGTATTTATGATGGTAATTAAAATTATATTAAAACTAATGAATCGATATTTTGTAAAATTAATTTTAAAATATAATATTTAATAGATATAAAATTTTAATATCAACACCTATAATTATTTCTTTTATTCTCATTCTTTTTTTTTTTTTATAAAAAATAAACATAAAAATAACGAGGGGAGTCCAATCTTGAAATTTAATACTCTTTTTTATAACCATTAAAATTTTTATCAATTAAACCTTATTATTTTAACTAAATTTTCAATATTTTATCGATGATTACTGATAATTTAATGCTCTCTTTTTTATTTTTTAATTTTTTTAGTTAAGTATATTATTGGTAATTTTATTTTATAGCTAAAATTGTAAGTATGCTATGTAATTCATTTAAATTTAATTTTTTTTATAATCTGCTTTGTCATTTTTTTGTTGACTTTATTTTGAAATGTTTTAAAAATTATTTCTTATTTTTTATTTTTTATTTGCTATTCTTATTTTTTACTCTAAAAATTAGTGAACATTCATATTAGAAAAATAAGTCTAGTATAAAATAAAATAAATTAAAAATTTTCTTATTTTTCTTGTAAAGTTAATCTCAAATATAAGTATTTGGACCTATCATCATGCCTTGTTTTTCTTTTTATCCTTAAAATTTTTTTAAATTAAAATTCAATAATCATCTAAATTTTTTATTTTTTAATAAATTAAATTATCGAATATTTATTTTTTTCAATTGAGTTCTTATTAGAAGAAAAATAACCAATTTTTTCTATTTAATTAAGGATTTAATTAAATAAAAATAAATATTTAATAAATTAATTATAATAAAAATATCTAAATTTTAAATAATTATTAAATTTTTGTTTGAAAATTATTTTTACCCTCACGCCAAAATGTTACACTTTGCACCATGAGATCAAGGTTGCCTTTTGTTTTAATAGTAGAAAGTATTGCTAGCCTTTATCTGAATATACCTATGGCCTTTTTACTTGAAAGAGGAAAAAAGTCAATCCCCCACACTAATTACATTCATCTCATGAGCCATTCACCGCAAAAAGTAAGTGTACTGAATTTCAAATCACGTTGATGCTTCAGAAAACAAAGGAAGGAAAAATATCTTGGATTCTCAATATATATATATATATATTAGGCTGATCGAATATGCAGGATGCGATGAAAGGTCCCTTCTTAGGTCTTTTCATGAGTGCATCGCACTATTTATCTAAAATAACTGTAGACATCGTTTCTATCAAGAAAAAAAAAAATGGTCACAACTCACAATCAAAAGCGCCTTCCCAAAAAAACCAAAGAATGAGTGAAGAGTGTCGGGAAACTCCTTGTGAAGGAGTGATAACAGAAGTTATATTTTAAAAGTACAAAGATGATCAAATTTGGTCATAGGATGTGTCTCAATGTGAAGGGACACTCCATATGAAGAGGAAAGAAAAGATGTACCCATATCCACCTTCCTCATTTTCAACCACATTCAGGCAACGACCAACACTTTCACATCGTTAGACCTTTTTTTTATTAAAATTTTTTTTGTCATTATTATTATTATTATTATTCTTTAACAGTTGCTTGTATTTTTTAAAATTTTATTTATTCACATTTATTTTTCTCCTTTTTAAATGGAAGTGTGACTCACTTCCTCCCGCACTCACGCGTCTTCGGAGTGCGTAAAGCAAACGTCATTTAAAAGTGAAAATGAAATGCCAAAGAAAATGCACTTTACGATTCATATTCTTCCTTGAAATAAACACTTCTTATTAAACATTGACCATCCATAAGATTTAATAGAAAATAAATTAGAGAAACGTGATTAAAGTTTTGTTACCAGAACATTCTGGATAGACAAGTTATTTAATTTTTAATTAAAATAAATTAAATTGTGCATTTGAAGTTAATATTAATAAGTAGTTGCTCGAATTCAAATTTTGATAAAATTTAATATTATTAAATGTCAATTTGTTAAAAAAAAAGTAATATTTGCGTTGAAAATAAATTAATTCAGTTGGTAAAGAGAAGTTCTTTTTTTTTTTTTTACGATTTAATTTTTGTAATGAGTACTTTAAAAATCAAAATTTGAATGCACAAAATGATGTAAAAAATATTTTTTAAAAATATTTAGTGAAAAATAATTAAACTCAAACAAAATGATGTGAATAACTTTCTGGCTCTAAAAACAATAAAGACAATTGTTGATTATATCCAAAGTTATTGGAATATTATACCAAAAAAAGAAAGGTCAAATTTGAGTTTGAATATTGAAATAAATAAATCAAATAAATTAAAAAACAATAAAAGAGTATTAAAAGTAAAGCTAGCAAAGGATCAAGTTAAGATGAATTTTTACTTGTTTTGATTTGATTTAATTTTATAATCATAAAATTTGAATTTAATTCAAAATTTTTTAATTTATTTTTATATTTAAATTCAGATTCGATATTATATAAATCGTATTTAATTGAATTTGATATTAAAATATTAATTTTTAAATATAATTATATAATTATATATAAAACAAAAAATTAAAAAATAATTTTTAATAAAATATCAAATTAAATTTATTTAAAATTTAAATTTGATTTTATTTTAAATTTTTTTAATAATACTCTATCTAACATGAAATTAAATTTTTTTTTAAATTAATTTTATAAAATTGAATAAAATCAAAATTTATTGGATTGTACTGTCAACCCAGGCCACAACTAGCCAGCTCTGGGCAAGAGAGAACCGTGAATTTATAAAGGAAAGGATTGGATTAATTAGGTTAACATCGGAAGACAGTTTACCGTTAATAGTCAATTTGTACTAAAGCATGCCATTTATTATTTAATTATTTTTTATTTGTACGGCTAAGTTCGCAATCATTGTTTTAAAGCAATAATTAATTAAATCTACCCCTGTTTGTTTAATCTACAACGTTACATTTGTTTCTCAACTTAGGAGCATTTCTAAATTGAAATATTAAATTATTTGATTAAAATATTTAAAGCCAATAAAATTAAATTCTAAGTTCAATTTAATTGATTCTTAAAATTATTCTTAGAAGAGATTTAAAAAAAAAATTATGTGATTATAAAAGATGAAAATGATTATTTAAACAATTTAAGTAAGATTGAATATCAGTTTATACAACGTTGAAAAAAGAGGCAACCGACTTCACTCGAATCAAAGACAGCTAAGTTGGTGTTGACCTGTATCCAACATTCTTATGGATTTTTTGGGTTGGGGCCGGGCAATGAAAAGAAAGCGAACGGTCCAAAACTACTTATATTTATAAATGAGTGGAAGGAGGCCCCCACATAAGCAATGGTGCCAATTTGTCGGCACAATGACTGGATTGGGGCTCCTAAAATCAACATTTTTGGGGCATTTGATTATTATGGGATTTTAAATCAATATAATGATTCATGTATTGATATAATATAAAATATTAAAATTTATATATTTATATTATATTATATATAAAAATTAACTAAAATAATTTATATCAATATAAAATATGTATTTTTATTTAATTAAATTTATATATAATAATTATTATAATTTTAAATTATATTATTTTTATACCATATTTATGTTATCACTTTATAATATTTTAAATTATCAGCATTTAAAGCCTCACCTCTCCCTCTCCCTCTCCCTCTCCCTCTCCATCTCCCTCACCGCTCGTTTCACTCCCTTGAAAAATGACACATCAAACGTACTGCTACAATCCCATTCCTATACATCAACTAATTTTTTTTTTACAAAAAAAGGTGTTAAGACGAAAGAGTTGCTTTGAATTCCGTCGAAAGTCCATTTTGTCTTTTGTTTCGTATTATTCGGGGAGAGAGAGAGAGAGAGAGAGAGAGAAATGGAAAGCAAAGTGAACACCTTATCTTTGGGTGCCTGCAAAAGACATTTAACCCAACAGGGAAACAAAAAAAAGGAAGAGCGGCACTAAAATACTACACCCTACAGAAAATCTTCCGAGTAAGAAAATAAAGCAGAAAGAAATTCTGCTCCTCTTTCTTTCCTCTCCAACACTGCGAACAGAGAGAGAGATACGAACAACGTTTTTTCGCTTCACATGGATTTAGATTTTCAATTATGTTTTCCATTTTCTGTTGGGGTTTTTCGTCATCGATTTCATTATCAGGCGCAGCATAAACATCAACAAAGATAACACTCCCTTTTATGTTCTTCTTTTAGGATTAATTTCCAGAGAAAAAGAAGACTCTGATAATAGTAATAGCTTAAATAGTTTAATTAGGTGAGTTTTTTTTTTCTTTATTTCATTTTTGTTTTCCTAGTTCTTGTTTTCGCTTCGTTTGAGTTATTTGATTTTTTTTATTAGAGCTTACAGTGTTAAGAAAGATAGTGGAGGATGAATCACTGCGTTCCTGATTTCGAAATGGAAGAAGATTATTCAATCCTTTCATCTTCTAGTTTAACTCGCCCTAAAAAACCCTCCATGTAAGCTTCTTCTTCTTCTTTTCTGTCTGTTTTTTTAACTCTAATTCTTATTATGCAAATTGTGAATTGATAAGCTGTTGAAATTACGGAACAGGCCAGAGGATGAAATCATGGAGCTGTTGTGGCAAAACGGTCAAGTTGTTATGCAGAGTCAAAACCATAGATCTTTCAAGAAATATACGCCGTTTAAATTCCATGACGCTGACCAATCAGCTCCCAGAGAGATCCGATCATCGTCATCTCTCCAGCATCAACAACAACAGCAGCAGCAGCAATCGATTACCGATCATCTCTTCATGCAAGAAGATGAAATGGCTTCATGGCTTCACTATCCTCTCAGCGACGCTAACTTCGACCACGATTTCTGCGCTGATCTCCTCTATCCTTCCTCCTCCGCCGCTGCCCCTGCTGTGGCCCCTTCTGTTACCTCCACCGCCACAACCTCCGCTCCTCCTCCACTCGGAAGAGTTTCTCAAGTTTCGGGTTCAGCTTCGGCTATGGCGTCAGCTTCTAGGCCCCCGATACCGCCGGAGAGGAGGAATGAATTGGAGTCGACAAGGATTCAGAACTTCGTTCACTTCTCCAGGCATAAAACGGCAAGGGCGGAGCAATCTGGACCGTCGAATTCGAAGAGTTTAGTGAGGGAATCGACGGTCGTTGATTCCAGCGATACTCCGGCGGTGGCTCCCGAATCGGCAGCCTCTCAGGTTATGCCAAGCAACACCGAGGAGGCATCTGGCGGGAACAACAACAATGCCTGCGCTAACATGAGCGCCGCTGCAGTTGTCAACACGCAATCAGCTGCTGTCAGCGTGGGTGCTAGCAAAGACAATTTAGCCACGTGTGAGGTCACGGTGACATCATCACCAGGCGGCTCCAGTGCCAGCGCCGAACCAACGGCTCAAAAAGCGGCGCCGGCTGAGGACCGGAAGCGTAAAGGAAGAGAACCGGACGACGCCGAATGTCACAGCGAGGTTAGTTCATTAGAGTTAAAATTTTTTCTCTTTTGTCTCAGCTAACGTGCGCCAGGGATTGGGGTTGACGTTGTTTAACGTGAGCACCACTCTCTTCGTCACTGGGCTAATTTGGGATTGTACACGTGTCAGGGGTGTCGAGTTAGAAAATGCCACACACGAATGTGACGATTGGAGGGGAAGGAGGCTGGCAGTGTCAATTGGGAGTGAAATCTTTTTTTAATTATAAAAGAATGGGGTTTAAAATAAGAATATTTTTGCACCGATGGCGCGTATGACGGGACTGGTTTCCTCGTCCCCGTTACACCCCCGTTTGCAAGTTAGCGTTTCGATAGGCTTTTTTTTTTGGGATGGGGGGGGATTTTTTTATTTATTTTTTAATTGATTAAAACATTCTCTAGGGTTGAGTAGTTCTAGTTAAGCTTAATGTTAGCTTCTCTAATTTTATACGTTGGGTGCATGAGAATTCTGAAAGAATCAGCCTTTTTGCAAACCTAAATACTAGGATGTATGAGACATTATTTAAAGAATTTTGCTAACTGATGATATTTAAAGAATTTTGCTAACTGATGATCTAAAACACTTTTAAAATTATTATATAAAGTACTAATACCTTCATTCAATAGATTAGAAATCATGAATAAAATTGTCAATTATTATATTTAATGTAAAATTATTATTATAGTAATTGTTTAATGAATATTAGCTCAAATGGTATACATGTTGGTTAAATTCTTAGAGGTTGCGAGTTTGTGAGGAATTTGATGAGTAATTTCCTTAGATGAATCATGTAGATCGATTAGAAATTTCAAAAAAGATTATTATAATATTGACTAACCTTAAATAAGGTTTTTAGAGAGTGTCCTTTGCCACTTCATACCAAAACCCTTATTTAAATACACGTGAACTAGTTTTAACATTGAATTTTTTATGTTAACATATCCAAAATTAATCAAAAACCATTTATAATTTTGTCATTGATATAAAGGTGTCTGAATTCTGTAATTACACAGTATAAAGATCATTTTGTTGTTTAAAACAATAAAAAGAAAAGGATTTACTGTGTTATTCTAATAATTAATATTCTTTCTACTCAGGGTTAGACCTTTAAGCTAGTTTTTCATGAATAGAGTAAAATAAGAAAAAAAAAAAGAGAAGAAGATTGATAGATTTTTACTACAGTTCATCGTAAATGAGAAAGAGAATCTTAAAAAAAAAGAAAAGAAAAGAAAACGTTAAATGTAGGTAGCTGAAGCAAAAGGAGTTCTAATTTCTCAGCTTCAAATTCTATTCTCCCCCAACTTAATTGCCAAAAAAGGGGACTTTTATATAAATTGGTTAAGACAGAGTACTTGTAAAATGGAAGGTCATTCTGATTAACATAGACCATTACAATCAAGTCTAATGGTACCTGTATTTTTTCATTGGTGGTGTCAATATCTTTTAGTTTTGATGGCACCTGATTCAGTGGCAAAGCTTGAGAATGTTATAAAGAAATCATGTTCTCTAGGAACTTTTCACTCAGCAATCTTAAAAAGCTCATTTAGCATGTAAAAAACACCAAATGTGAATAAGGATGTTTCTATAACTCTAAGATGAATTTAAATATTATGGACAATAATAGTAACTCCACTTTGAATCTTTTTATGGTCTTAAGAATGCACATCAGGAGCTTATGCGTTATTTTCTACATTAATATGTTGGGGAACCAAACTAAATTTTAATTATGGAAGCATCTGTATTTATTTTCTTCTTTTGGAAAAGTGGGAAGGTTCATATTGGTTATGGTTTAGCTTAATTACAGATAGGTAGGGAAAACAAAAACTATATAGAGAATATAGCCTTCAGTGGTGCTATGTTAGGTGCTCATAATTTCCTAAGTATAAGTCAGTTAAGAAGCCAACCATATAACGATAAGTACGCAAGTTTTACGGTATCCTTATGGTAAACTTATGAGGTGTTTAAACCAAGCAATCTCTTTGTGGAAAATAGACAGTACCCCATGTATGTTGAGAGTTAGGATGGTATTATATGTTTTAATGTGTTAAAATGGAAAATCTGGGACTTCATTTATCCCTTTCTTTCTATTAAAATTCATCTTGCTTTTTACTGATAACTTTATTGTTGGCAAAGGATGCTGAGTTCGAATCCACTGATACAAAGAAACAAACGCGTGGATCCATATCTACAAAAAGGTCTCGTGCTGCAGAGGTCCATAATCTCTCAGAAAGGGTCAGTATTTTATTGACATTATAGTACATGATCTTCTTCTGTGTAATTACATTCCTTTAGAGGTATAATATCTCTTTCATGTGCAGAGACGCAGGGATAGGATAAATGAAAAGATGAGGGCTTTGCAAGAACTTATACCTCGTTGCAACAAGGTTTGTCTTGTCTATGATTTTCCCTTATATTTTCACTTTGCATTGAGGATTTGTTTTTCTTTATTTGGATTCTTTCTCTACCTATATCAACTTATTTCATATTTCTGAGTCTCAGTCAGACAAAGCTTCAATGCTGGATGAAGCAATTGAGTACCTGAAGTCACTTCAGTTGCAGGTTCAGGTATGTCTTTGCTTATAGTTAATGGATATGTGTGATTGTATAGCCTAGCCATAGATTTTTGTTCTTACAACTCTATACCAAAAGTAGTTCCATGGAGTGATGTAATTGGGTTATTGTCCTTTTATAGCAGTATTATTGGTAAAACGCTAACAATAAAGTAACTTTTGTCTTTTTTCCATCTAGAATGCATGCTTATGTCACATGTGCCCTCATGACTTAACGTAATAGCACTAAGCCCTTAATCAACAATCTTTTACCTGTTTTATTATGAATGTTTAGGGAACTGTTAATGACAGGGACTTTTGCCATTGAAGTAAATAAAAGAGAATAAGATTCACCAAACACCACCAAGCCCGGGGCAAGATTTCATTTGGGAACATTATTTTTACTTGGCGTACACAAGTAGATAAATTTTGAAATTTGAAGCTTTTTCTTTTCTTTTTTTTCCCCCTAGCGAGAAGATGACTAAATTAAGTACATGTATGCTGGGATTGTGCTCCAACAAAAATTATGTTTGGATTGCCGGATGGAAACACCGAAGAACAAATTAGAACAATATCTTAGTAACTCTTCCGTTTATTTTAAAGTGTTTGAAGAAAACTTTGTTCAATCAAATACTTCACGATTGACTTTTGCACCACTGGTATTTGCTAATTATTATGTTCGACATCTTGCAGAATCTGATCAATACCTAACCAAAAAAGTATCCATTAAGGCAAAAGTTAATTCCAGCCTCATTCTTCCACTCTCTATCTACCTTCTCTTGTTTTTCCATGTTGCTATTGTGTGGATTTTGTTAAATGTTCTGTCCTGATTGGATGGAATTTCATAATTCTATACTTGAGAATAATGCATTTTCCTCTGAGAACTAAGGAAGAGGAGTTGAGTATCTCTTTCTGTATAAGCTCCAGTATTCTCACGCTGCAGATGGCACAACACTTTAGACAACTTTTGCTCGAGCCTTTACTTTCCTGAGTTTTACATGCTGTCATTTTGATTCTTATAGCACTTTCAATATCAGTGACTGCTTTGCAGCAATATCATGGACTGTCCTTTGATATGCTTAATAACTCAAATGAGTTGAGAGAAGAAAAAACAGTCACTGAAAATTAATTTGGAGTGACATGAGCTTCCGGATTTATGACATTTTTATTTTACCAATCAATAGTGTGCTTATTTTTGCATTCTAATATCATAAAAACCTATCCTAACCATAGAACTTCATTCTCACTTCTACTCAGCTCTTGTGACATGCTTGTGCATGTAAATACTTTCTTTCACCTCCATGTACCATGCAGTAAGCTGGGATAAGCTGGGATGTGTTGTTATGTTCTATTCACATTTCATTTAATGAGCATTGTTTTATATCTTAACGAACGAGTTTGTGCATTATTTATGACAATTTTAGATTTTAACTTTCTGCAGATGATGTCCATGGGTTGTGGCATGGTCCCAATGATGTTTCCTGGTGTTCAGCAGTACATGCCAACAATCGGAATGGGAATTGGGATGGGCATGGGCATGGATATGGGAATAAGTCGGCCGATGATGCCATTTCCCAATGTTTTGGCTGGCTTAGCATTACCAACCCCAGCTGCTGCAGCTCATTTGGGTCCAAGGTTTCCTATACCAGCCTTTCATATGCCACCACCAGTTCCAGCACCAAACAATCAGCCAGATGCCACGATAAACCAGCTTGGCATGCAAAACACAAACCAACCACGGGTCTTAAATTTTGCTGATCCTTATCAACAGTATATTGGTCTTCACCAGATACAATTACCCCCTCCACTGGTAATGTTTAGCATGTCATCTTGCCTCCAAATTGGGGCATTCATACCTAGTAATTATTTTCCCTCAACCTTTGCCCTTTATACCTATCATCAATTGCATGATAACTTCTTTTTTTTAAAAATAGAAAATATCCATAAATCCTTGTTCAGAGCTTTCTCAGCTATTTTTAGGCTTGAGTATTCACTCTTGACAATATCTTAAAAGAAAGTTGGCTTGGAACCCTACAAAATTAATTTCTAACTTTTTCCTATTTATTTTCCCAAAGAAAAATTTTCCTTAAATGTCTGATCTAACACCAGCTCAATCACATTGAGACATACAATTTGTCCACTAGTATGAAGTATTGATTACAAATTTAAACTTTTACAGAGTCGAGCAATGGCCCAGACAAGTTCCAATAAACCAAGTAACAGTAGGGAAGCTGAGAATCTTGAAAATCAACCACCAGGTAGGTCCATTGTTTTCTAGTTCCACATTATTACAAGATGGTTGTTGACAACAGTGTGCATATAGACAGTACATGCCATGACCACCTCTAATAATTTCATATGATTAGAATCTGCATGGCATGTGCAGATTTCAGCATTTGGCATGAAAAGAACCTGGCTTTCAAACAAAGTATTCTCTGCTACCACTTTGACTGACATGGTTTTACTAGTTAGATAGAACTACACTTGCACACTGAAATCAAGTTAAAATGATAAGCCATGTCAGTTCCTGAGGAGCAAGACATTTATTAGCACTTAATTAGAAGTTTACTTACTGTCTAATCATGGATGATTTCTAACTAACTTTTTTGGATGATATCATGAAGGTGATACGACATTATAGCGCCAAAATCTTGGCTGGCTAAAATGTAGCCAGCTACTCTCGGACTGCTAGCAGATTCTATTATCTGAACTATGGTTGAGTGCTGCTTGTGTATTCCTTTGAACCCATAACATACAAAATTAAAGATAAAGTTCCTGTGCATTGCAGGTTGACAATTCTGCATGGATCACTCCGGAAAGGTTATTTGCCTTTCTAAAGTTTTGTAGTGTAAGAGAACATCCTGTCTGATAAACTTTTTTCAACTAGCTAATTTGTTGTAGCACATCTACCATGTAATTATTACACCACCATAGAAATAGTTCCTTACTTTCGAGTTTCACTCTCACCTTTGTGTCCCCCCTCCATTTTCCCCATATTTCATCATGTAGTTTGTTTTCTATTTGTTCAGAATCTGAAAGAGGCTTAGACAGAAGAATCAGCGACAAAAAAACAAAGCCATCTTTGGGTACGTGGGGGACGGTGGTGAGATGACTCTGGTTTGCTGACAACCTCACCCCCTTTCTCCCAAGTTGTTTCTGATTATCGTATTCGCTATTGCCTTTATTAAGAGTACAAAACCAACATGCAGAATTGAAGAAAATGTTATCCAGGTCACCACTGAAAAAGGTAAAAAGAAAATTGTTTTCAACGATAGACTTATTCATGGAATTATGGTCCAGTACGTATATATTTTTGAGTTTCAGCAGGGATGTAAGATTCAAGAGAACATATTTTAAGCACGACAAAGGAATATCAAGCCAGAGCTTTTGAAATTTTCCTTTGGGTTTCAACTTGTAGACGGGTCTCGGCTGCACTCAATCGATCTTCTGAACCTTAAAAGGGTGCAAAGAAGGGAAGAGTCGCCGCACCCTTTACCCTTTTTTTTTTCAGCTCAAATTGAACTTTGCTGCAATTCTCTGAACCTTGGAAAGGTGCATAGGAAAAATGGTTGCTGTTTTCTTTGAATCTTTTCAGTGCATATTGAGCTTTGCGCCAATGTTCTCCAATCAATAAGCATGCCCACCAACCATCCTCCAACCATGGAAATGCCTTCATGTATGCTGAAAATAATGTAGGAGTCCCCGTATATATTCTGTAGGCTAACCATAGGAAAAAAACGCAGTTAAAGGTTACTGAAACTGAAGGCCAGGATTATAGGCGCAATCCGAGCATGTCAGACAGCGGATAATGAGGCAAGAAGAAAACTCAAAGAATTTGGCACTTTGACCAACATTGCGCAAAAGTAAGAGAACGACCTCTCATACAGAGAACATGTCAGATAGGCCCACGTTTTGTTCTTATTATGACAATGATAGGCCATCCTCGAAGAACATAGCACATGTACGTGTGCTTGAATGAGATAAAACATAGCATCAAAAGGTCTATCAGCTCCTCTAACTTTTCTTTCTTTTATATATATATATATATATATATATATATATTCACATGAAAAACAAAGAAAACTTAACAGCAGCCAGCAGGCTGGAAGAGGTGGGGACCTGCTGTAACAAAGAAAGGCCATCAGAGTAATTTTCATCGAGATATGAACTCACCCAATGCATACAACAAAACAAAAATGTAATTGCAAAACTCCAGAAAGAGGATATGAATAAGGTTTTAGCCAATTTATACATTAAATGAGAGCCTCCATTCTGACCATAAAGAAAAATCAGCCCCTGACCAGGCTAGGGACGGCAGGATAATTCCCCTTCTACAATCACAGCAAAACTTGGACATAACTATATTGGCATCCTAGGAAATCAGCAAAAGAACTTCAAAGGCCTCTAAAATACAAACATCTTTTTCTTTCTGTAACAATATGTGGTTATGGGTTGATCGCAGATGAAATCTTATAACGGGGACACCAGTAGCGGTTAGCTTCGGAACATGCCAAATTCTTATCAGTAACTATCAGATATTCATATCAAAACTGAACAACAGCCGAAGAATATTGTTAAGCAAAACAGAAGACTCTGTACAAAATATACATTAAAATTATGTTTGGTGTACAAAATTATGATAAAATAAGATAAAATAATATTAAAAATAAAATAAAATTAAATAATATCATCATATATTGTATTTTATGTGTGTAATGATTATGATAAGATAATTTTACTTATTGATAAAATTATCCTTCTTCAAATTTATATAATTTAAATTATTGATATAATTTTAAAGGTATAATAGGACATGTAAATGTAGTCCTATGAATTAAAAATAATCTTTTTCACTTTGAGAGGACTGAATTATCTTATAGAAAGAAAATGATTAATACTCCTTGCAATTCTATCATTTCTTTTGATACAAACCAAACATGCTATAGATGATTAAATTTTATCCTATCCATTATCGTATTCACCAAACATGGCCTAAATAACTTATCACAGAAAATGCGGAATACATCCACTTCCATAGCATTTTCAAGTTCCTAACAAGAGGGAAAAACAGACTTAGCAGCATGGACAACATAAGCAAAAATGTTAACTAGAAGTCTCAGGTCTCAGTTTTCAAGTAGGAATAACAGCACTGACATTCATTGCATCTGGGGAGCTATCAATATCACAGATGAGTTTTTGAAGATGTTCATCCTTTAGGGCTTCACGGACTTCACTGGAATAAGCTGCATGACAAAACATCTTGGGTGTTAGTTAACCAGTTTTGGCATCAAGACAGTTACAGCCTTACAGGTTCTCTGCCTCTTAACATTATGAAAACATTTGATCCTACAAACTAGCTATCTTAAGCTGGATGTTATTTAATCTTCTACCATATATCTTAATCTGGGAACACCGAGAAACCTTGAGAACCTATTAGCTGATACGATGAAAAGCTTTGGGGCCAGACTCAAAACTTCATGCAAATCACATTTATTAGAAATTTTTGGATAATTGCAAAAAGAAATGCATACCAAAACTTGTTAAATGCAATGCTAGTGGCATATTGTAAAATACAAAAATTCTACCACAATACCTTTTGCATCTCCTTTGAATGTATTATACCATTGAATCATCTAAATTCCCCCAAAAAATTTTGAACTCTAAATCCTGGAATGATAGTACTATGAACTTTAAGTATTTCTCCCACGAATATGTCAAATTCTCATTGATAGCTAAATTTGCACAGGTGTTTTATTTATTCGGCCACGTTTACTTTCCCTATTTTTCTGAGTTTCTTACAAATCTAATGACGAAGGTTGCCATCATCATTTTTTTTTTTTTCATTTTGTTGCACTTGGAGACCTCTTAAGATGTTGGCAAATATCAACAAGATGCTAGCTTCAACTATAATTATGAGTGGAAAAAAAAAACCAAACATTTGCCCAAGTAACTCACTGCCCACTACTGTAAGGAACTTTTTACTAAAGATAATTGAGCTAGGCTTAGATTTAAAATAAAAAAATAAAAAATCCATACCAATAGCCTGCATTTGCAATATTTGTATTACCTCACTTGCGTCATCAACTTCTAGTTTCCTTTCCACCTGAAATCCTGGAGTAGCAACTAAAAGAAATGAAGCAAACAACATTTGAGTTCTGCAATTTTCCACAAGAAGAAAAGGGAGATTTGATTAAGTTGTTGACGATATTAACACATCATGTAGATAAAAAATTTTTTTTTGCATGTAGAATAATCTTTCATGAATCTGAGTTCTTTGAGTTATGATGATCTCCAAAATTCATCTTAAAGTTAGACACCATATCATGTCAAGGAAGCAAACTGTATAACATGCTTCCTTTGCCCATGCTGAGAAACCATAAAGTTTCTTCCTTGCCCATATTAAAAAAAAGACATTTGCTTGTAAGAGCAATGGTGGTTTTCATTGACGAAAAGTGTTTCTTAAAAAATGTTACTAGATGTTCATAATAGAGCACATATAAAATGGAAATATGAATATAACTCAAATTTTAAAGCAGACTACTTACTAGGAAAATGATTCATTAAAAGGTAGTTTTCTTTTAGTTTTGCTGAAAAACTGCAAATAAGCATATCTCTAAGGATAAACATCACAAACAACTTTGAATTTTTATAGCAAGGAACAGAATTCTTTCTGGCTCTTTCATCAGAGGATTCTGGCTTGACACTAGTTGTTACTGCATCATTAGTGGACCCTGAATTGACACAAGGGGTTCCTACATCATTCACACACATTAGTTCTAAATTTGGCCATTTCTGAAACCACAGAAAGAAGGCCAGCGCCAGCTAGAAATCATAGATTCTTTTTTTAATGTTGGCTTCCAGAAGTAAACCCTTAGCCATGTTATTTGCTGGTTGAAACAAGCTTGAGTGGACATATGTATCACATATATATGATGGGTTTACAATAACATACAACTCAGTAAGGATTATTCGACAGGCCAGAAGAGCAGTGTAGATATTCTTGATATTACTAAAGCAAAAGTAGAATTCTAAATTTAACATTTCATCACAGTTTATAGCATTATCTACACAAGAAAAGCACCACCAAGGCCCCAACCTTAGTATGAAATATGTGTAATAATATTATTATCTCTCAACATGTATCAATCCATATAAAAATAAACTTCTAGAACATCAAATGCATGAAAACACAAGCATCCTTGATTAAAGCATGGAGTTGGTCACTTAAGAAGCATCCACTTTGAAGAAAGGAGTCCTCACCAGATTTTTCGTTAAGGGATTCTGGTTTCGTGCAGGGAGTTTCTGCAACATACATACAAGCCCATTAGTTGTCATTTCTAGTATCACAATGAGAATGCCACCTTAAGACTTCAACTACAAAAGTGCAAGTAGGGTAACAGGACACTGATACCCAAATTCCCCTTTAATCTTTGTCTACAAAACTTACATTTTCCGGAATGTTTGTTGGCTAGTGGAAACTAAGCTTGAAACCATACACCATTGATTCGGTTATTCTTTTAGCTAACACATATTCCACTCCACACGACAGAAAAAATATTGGTAAAGCAAGAGTAGAATGGATGCTAAGTTCATCTCTTTACCAGAACACAAGTAGATGAGAAAGCATTAGGCCAAGAAAATTCCCATGATTAAAAGCAAAAGATCAAGCAAATTTCGAATATGTAATCAACATACATGGAGAAATAAAAAGAGTTAATGAAATCCAATAATTAAGAAGAATGAAAAGGCGAAATTGTTGGGTGACATACAAAGAACAACTGGGACTTAAGGAAATCGAAAGGAGTAAAATAAAAAAAATACCCACAAATAAAAACAATCAGAAAGAAGAGAGAGCAGACCTTACTAAGGAACTAGACAAGAGGGGCATTTGTACTTGGATTGTGCTTGGTTGCAAACTTGACACCGCCGTTAAGGACCTATCATTCTTCCTTCTTCCACCAATAACAAAGCAATCCAATTTAATATTATAATGATTGATTACGGGTGTTTAAGGTTAACCCCAAAAAGACCAAAACAGTTACTGATCGGAGGAAGAGAGCTACGAGGGTGGCGAAGCCGAAACAATGTGTCGACTCCCAGTTATTTTCTTTTCAATCTTGGAAACGGAAGAGTTTAAGTCAGGAAATAAAAAAAGCAGAGAAAATTCTAATGCTTGATTTTAATCCAGCATAAGAAAAAAAAAAGAAAGAAAATTAAGCATAATAACCAATAGTGATTCTCAACAAGAAACATTTTTCCTTCTTTTTATGGACAATTGACAGAGACTGAAAATTTTTTCATAAAAGAGATTTTTCCTCTCTAAGTTTGAGATATGAATATGTATCACAAAGACATCGGCTATAACTGAGTTATGTAGAGCAGTCTGTCATGCAATCAACAAAATGAATTTAGATGCAATCAAAAGAGAATTGATCCTTTTTGAGTTACTTAAAGGAACAAAACGGAATAATAGTCTGACAATTGGTTCGGGCAGATTCGTATGCCGATTAGGCCGGAGCAGGGATATCGATCCAACTGATCATTGATTTGAGATATTGATAGGGTGAATGCCCAATCTATTCGATGCTCTGGCACGACGAGCATAAATGTATCAACTCTCAAGGCTTCAAGCAAGAGTGAAAACCAATGTGGTTTCAATCAAGTAGACAAGAAATCACCCCAAGTGTCCTTGTAAATGTCTTGAAACGATCAACATTTTATATGCTTCATATAGCTCCTAAACTATATGTGCTTGCCAGGAAGTAGAAAACCCGAAACAGAAAAATATTTTTGGGTACAATAAAGTCCTGGAATTTTAAACAAGTTTTTCTACATATAAAGTCCTTCTGGAACCCCTTCTTTCTTTTTGAACATCACCTTTTCCTTGGCCTTCTTAAAGTCTGCATGCGTCACCTGAAACATGGGATTATTTAAAATCAGACACTTTGGATCAAGCAATCACTCGCTATATCTGGGATACAGGTGAAACTTCTATGAACAACTCGAATCATCAAACATAAGCTAGAGTGCGAGGCAATACAAATTACAAGTACCAACGGCAAGTTTAGTTTCTACAGAACACAAAGAGGATATATCACAGTTCGCTTTACTGCTTCTACAATTTATGGCACCGTGAACACTATAACACAGCCAAAAATTGGCTGTAGTAGCACTGTATTAGCCCAAAATATAAGTAGGTTACCAAGGAAATTACCCTTAAATTGAAGAAAATGAAGAATTCTACTTGCAGAGAAAAAGGAGTTCAATACTGTCTCTTAAGGATCCTTGTCTCTAGCTGAAGAAAAAATTTTGACACTAGTTTTCACTTTTTAGTTTATTCATTTAAATTATCTATTGACTCTGTATAAAAAGGCTACCAATTCAGGTATATCTTTCAGCATCTACTTCTTAGGAACACAGGGTGAGAATATATCTGTAATAAATCCTTTTTCTCACTAACAATGAAAATTTAGCAGATTTCTCTTCATCCTATGAACAATTAAAAGCAAAGGGAGAATTATATGCATGGGTATTTGCAAAGCATCGAAAATTCTAATTGCTAACAATCTGGTTTAAATTATAATGCAGAATGTAATCTTGTAGAATAAAACTTACATGTCAGTAAATCTATCAATCTGGTTTCACTTCTATTACATATAGGTCCAGAATGTAATCTTGTCGAATTAAACTTATACGTTACAAAATATTCCTACATATATTATAAGAAAGAGAAGCACAGGCTTTCTTTATTAGGAACTTATACGAGTCTCACCTTCATGCGTCGCTCCCTTAAAGCAAGCAAACCAGCCTCAGTACATATTGCCTTTATATCAGCTCCAGAGAACTCATCTTTTGTCATAACAAATTCTTCCAAATTTACATCATCAGCCAATGTCATCCTCGATGTATGTATCTGTAGTCCAAAGATTTGAAAGTGAGTTAGTATAATGAAGCAAGCTTAAAAGAAACTTTAAAGTAAATGAGAAGAGCGAAGCATATCTGATATAGGATTTCAATACATCACAACACAATCACATACCTGGAAAATACGCCTCCTCGTTTTGATGTCAGGTAGGGGAAATTCGATCTTCCTATCAATTCGACCAGGACGAAGCAAAGCTGGATCAAGACTTTCAATTCGATTTGTTGCAAGAATCACTTTGACATCTCCTCTTGAATCAAAGCCATCTAATTGGTTCAGTAACTCCAACATGGTCCTCTGAATTTCACGTTCACCACCAGAATGGGCATCATACCTATATGGAGATTAATGAGAAATATTCCAAGTTTATTTCCATCAAGACATAAATGTTTCACTAACTTACCTCTTAGTACCAACTGCATCAATTTCATCAATGAAGACAATTGAAGGGGAAAGGTCATCAGCAACTCTGAAAAGTTCCCTAACTAACTTGGGACCGTCTCCCAAGTACTTCTGAATTAGTTCACTTCCAACAACACGCAAGAATGTTGCAGATGTAGAATTAGCCACCGCCTGAAAGAACATAAATGACATAACAAGCTCAGATCTATTTTTATATCAGAAACAACCAGAGCAACCAACTGGGTGATGCTAGTGTAAACAAGCTATGACCAAGATCAATAATATTAACAATTGCATATTACTAGCAAAATCATATATTTCAAATTCAAGTGTGTCCATGCTGTCCCTCTACTCTGATTTTTGGAAGCTTATCATGCCTGACACCTTGCACTGATGTCCACACCTTATTTGTGTTTTGTCTCCTAATCAAACAAGAGATTAACTTGAAACAAAGGGGTAGAGAAAGCACAGTTATCAAACCATTAATTATTATAGAGAGATGTGCATAGAAAGAAAAATGTCTTGCTGGAAATATAGGAACACACACCTTTGCCAGCAAGGTTTTGCCTGTCCCAGGCTCTCCATACAAGATAACTCCTTTTGGAGGTTTGATACCAATGTCCTCATATAATTCAGGGTGAGTAAGAGGGAGCTCAACTGCCTCTTTGATCTCCTGTATCTGAGCATCCAAACCTCCTATATCTGCATAAGATTCTAATGGAGCCTTTTCAACCTTCATCACTGATACCATGGGATCAACTTCATCTTGCAGAAGTCCAACCACAGAAAGAACCTGAGAACATACAATAACCAAGTATAAATTTCTTTCCAAGAACAAAGAAATTGCATGAGATGGAACATAACATCTTAGAGATGCTTACAATCCAAAGAAATAATAGATGCATAACCCTTAAATGGAAGAAGAGGGTTTCCATTTATCTTTTCAAGATTTATATTAGTATTTTGGATAAGCAAGGGTGCGATGCAACTCAAACAAAATCCCCAAAGACATGAATATCACAAACTATGATAGCAAACTTGATGAGACATATAACCCATCTTGAGCTTGCATATTCAAATCACTCATATTTATTTGAGTAAACCTCTAGCTTGAGAGCTAGAGACTTATTTGAACTCGTTTATGAATTTAGTTTCGATCAGAAGTTCATTTTTTAAAGCTCATCAATTAAAGCTAAAGCAAGCAATCATGATTAAAACCCTGTTATCTATTTATTCAAATTTCACAAGAATTCTCTCATATATGATAACTTTGCAACCATAAATACTAAATAGCAGCAGTTCTATCAGCTTACAGCTGCAGACCCAAAATCTTATAATTCCCCTGGCACTGATTCTAAATTGCATATTCAAAATTTCAGCACAATAGTTCAGTACCCTTTCAGCTAAAACAATACTTAAATCGTTTTCCATTCAAAATCTCTAATAATAATAAAAAAAAAACCCTAAACCTAAAACAAAACCCAAAAAGCTTAAGACTTTAATTACCTTATTGTGCATTAAAATAGCACATCCAGGCTCCAACTGATCCTTATCAACAAAAGATAAAATCCCCACATAATACTCCGGTCCAACCGACGACGAAACAATCGCATGATTCTCATCGATCAGCTCCTCCAAATTACCCACACTCATCGGCGACCCTCTCAAATCATCGACTTTAGATCGATCCTCCTCGGCTTTCTCTTCCTGCGGCTTTAGCCTTTCCTGGTTAGCTACAAACTCTTCTTCCATCAGTAAATAGTCCTTGATCCGCTCCAGCTTTAACAGCCGGAGCTTACACTTCGTCATTGGCGTTACGACCGGGAGACGAGCCGCCGCTTCGGGTCCTTTCTGTTTTCGTTGCTTGCGACCCACCCTGGCTGGGGGTGCCGCTGGTTCAAATTTCTTCTCCTTCTTGTCAGAGCCATCGGGTTTCCGGTCCCCTGGGAGACCATGCCGATTCAGACCGCCCGGTGTTCCCTGACCCATGGTTTAGGTTTCGCTTTTGGTTCTCTGTTGTTGAGCTGATCTTTTGAAGATGAATTGGGGGGGGATTTTGTATAGTTGATGTTTTGGGATCAAGTTGCCTCGTCAGTTTTATACAGAAAAGAGAGTTTTGGAAAAAGGGCTTGGATCTATTGGATTATGTAATTTGTTCAACTCGTTTGGGCGTTTTAGTCTTTTACTAATGTCGGACCCTTTGAGTACTGATTATGGGCCAAGTTTAAGTTGTAAATGGGCCTTTTATTATGATTTTTTTCTTAAATTGATAAAAACCCTATGCATGTAAGTTTGCATCTAAATTCAATTTTTTTCTTAGGCCTTTATTTCGTTTATACAAATATAATATATATATATATATATTTTTTTTCTTTTCTTTTCTTTTCTTTTCTTTAGGCTTTTCTGTAATAATAATAAAAAAAAACATGGTGGAGAAACGCTTATTGTCTTATTCTTATTCCATAAGAAATTTTATGGTAACAAAAGTTAAAGCTTACAAGAATTAACCATCTAACCTCCCCACTCCCCACTCCACATGATCTTCTGTTTTTTCTCTATGGCTAGTTGGAGTAGTAGTTTTACTGTTATGCCAAGGTTCCCATTGATATTTTAAACGATATTCTTTATGCTGGAAATTGTACAAATATATTCCATCATTTTGTGACATCCAGCGGCAGTCCCCACCACCACAATCATTTTCGATGAATTTGTTGTCCATCCAAAACACGTCGAGGTATTTTTGCCCACCCTTCCACCACATGTGGCAGGAGAAGCGAGTCCTGGAGAAGAAATCTGTGCGAAACGTCCATTGATACTCGTCGTGGACAGGGATATGGTGGACGCCAAGATCGTCGTCTTTGGATCTGCAATGTGCTTCAAGTATCTCGTTTGTGCTAAACCCATTGATGACATGAACATGACACCTATTCACGATCGAGTAGGTGACAAATGATTGACTCATGCAAATTATGAGAACAAGCGAGATCATCAAATTTTGGGTGAGATTCATTTTTTTTTTCTCTTTTTCTTTTGTTTGGTTTTGAAACCGTTGCAAAAGGGTTCATTTGGTGTTATTTTTTTCTCATCCATCCTTTTTATATAGGTGGACAATTGAGTGACATGGTAAGGGTAAAAATGCAAGAATCACCTCAACACTGTAAGTTTCGTATATGGTGGGTAATTGTTATACTATACCTCACTGTAAATTATCTTTATTGCAATTATATAAATATATTATTAAACCCTAAATAGCAATTGGGTAGGTCCATAATTAAGACCCTTTGTTACCTCAGAAATCAAGAAAAAAATATACATTCATGTTCCTAGAGGATGCATTTAATGGGGAATTGCCAGAAAATGAATTAGTACTGAACTGGATCAATTATTGCAATAGCCTTGAAACAGAAATAAAAGGGGAGAGACCTGTCTTAAGGAACGAACTGGTTGGCTAAAGGTTTGTAATATGCCAAAGTATGGAATAAAACTGCAATGATTAGTGTGTGTCAGTTTCTTTCTGGCATTTGGAAATAATCCTTCTGGCATCACAGAAGTCACTCAAAAATTAATTTTAAGGTGGCATACAAATTAATTTCATTTATGATTAGGAATATTCCTATTTCTACATAACTTTCCCATTCATCAAAGATTATAAACTCCCATTTATCCCAAAAGAAAAGTATAAATTGCAAATGCAATACTGCAATTGCCTAAAGAAATAAGATACCCCAAAAGCAAAATTGGTGGATCTAGTCTTTCTTTGCTATGAGTGAAAAATGTTTTTTTCAATAAAAAACATAAATAGAAAACTTTTTTTTTTGTATTATTGTCATAACATTTAGATCAAGGGATCTATCACTAGACATTGATTTAAGGAGTCATCACCAATCTTTTTTGTTTAAGTGTGATTGACCGCTTAAAGAATCTATCATTTCAAGAAATACCTAAGTTTGACTTGAGAGTCCCTAAAGAATAGGTTCAGATCTGTTAACCAGGACAAAGTTTGGGAGTATAGTTATGTGTGAGGAAGGTTATAGCACCATCACAACGTCTATTGAAAGATGGTACAAACTTAATTTTGTATTATCCAATAAGCCTTAAAAACTTATCAAATAATTAATTATTAAAAATTATTTTCAACTGACTCTAATACTTTTAGCAGAAAATTAAAAAAATTTTCTCACCTCAGGAGTACGCAAAGAAACTACTGTTTCACTTACAGAGATTCTATCATCAGATTATTTAAAAAAAATTCAAAAAAAGAAAAAAAATAATGATTCAATCTTAGATATAAGTTCTTTCTTTTTTTTTTTAAAAAAAAACACTAATTATTTTTATACAAAAATAATTGATACTTTTAACTTTTCCTTAGAGCATTTAAAAATTTTATTTTTTAAAAAAATTGATACCTTTAACTTTTCTTAAAATATTTTTGAAAATTTTATTTTTAAGAAAAATTGATACTTTCAACTTTTTCTTAAAGCATTTAAATTTTTTTTTTAAAGAAATTAATATTTTCAACTTTTCTTAAACTATTTGTTTTGTTATTATTTTATTTTTTAAAAAAATTGATACTTTTAACTTCTCTTCAAAAATATTTTTTAGAAAAATTTATTTTCAAAAAAAATTGATACTTTTATTTTTTATTTTTATATATTTTAAACTTTATTCATATAAAAATACTCTTAAAAATAAATAAAAACAAAAAAAATACAAAAAAACAGTTCGACTGAAGAGTTAACGTGACTCGATTTCAGATGCAGAAAAGTTGAAATGACTCGATAAGTGATTTTACTTGTCTCAGTCTATTATTAGATGGAAAATTGCTCCTCCCGATTGCAGTAGCTTTAGAAGGCTTCGGCAGGTACATGCGTGGGCTATAATGTGAATATCTGGCATTCCAGATTCGGTAAGTCCCATCATCAGATGACGATTAAAGCTGGAAAGCAAAGGCAGGACCTAGGACTAAATGTAATGGCAGTTACAGCTCCAGTATGCCCTCGTAAAATTGAAACTGGCAACCCATCTGGCAAGCGCCAAACTTGAATCACAAAATCATTTACTGCAGATGCCATCAAAATATTGTTTGAACTAACAGCCAGTTACGCCACCTTCATGTCCACAATAGCTAGCCAACCAAAATGCAGTTTCCATAGACCTAATTTTGACAAGGTGATCATCTGAACCAGTAATAACATATCTCCCGGAGCGATTAAGTATGGCACAATAGACAACATTCTGATATCCCTTCAACTTCTTTATATTCTGTATTTTTTTTTGCACCATGGTAGATGGTTTAACAATAGCATGGCATGTAGAGCGAACAGAGGGAGATCGGTGGTGCTTCCAAAACCTCCATCCAATTTTTCTTGTACTTAGCCCCCGAACTTAATCAGCTTGCATATGAGGCCAACGCAGATAGGCAGGTATAGGCTTCCCCTGCCTAGTTTCTATACTCTTTTCAGAATTCAAAAGTGAAAAGGAACCAGATCCCAACAGTGTAGGGATGTCAGCAACATTCTTGGCAAGAGAGCAGATGAGCCAACTGTATCCATATGGAGCCTTGTCCTTGCCCACGTGTCGACCACAGCACGCGTCACCGCTCTTTGCAACGACTCCAACACTCACGACTTTGGTTATAACAGCTTTCACGTCCTCAATCTTGATGCAAAACACACATCCAGTTTCTTCACTTTTCACAGGAGTAGAGTAACTAGCGATGTCAGATACGAGAATAGTAGAGCCAGCGAGCTCAAATTGAACCGAAAGGATATGAAGAAACTCCTGCTCAGCCTTGCACTTGGGGTAAAGAGTACAACTATTATCGATAGCGTCAAACGCGGTCTTGTAGAATTGCACTACATCAACTACCTTTGGTGCTTCCACCATCAACTATGGCTTCATCGTCGTGAACTCCACTGCCATTGCCTTTTCGGCTCCTCTGTTCTGGCCTCATACTACATCATTGATGAAAATAAACAAAACTATTCACAAGAATGGGAATTGGAGCTTATGAGCATGTGGGCTTTTGAACTAAAATCTCTCAAAAATCAATTTGTTGGCTTTATCAAATCCTTTGACTTTTCTGGTTTGCTTCTTTCCCTTTCTCGTTTGCTTCTTTTAAACTAAAATCTCTTTGCAATGGCTCCAGCACTCACGACTTTGGCTATAACAGCTTTCACGTCCTCAATCTTGATACAAAACACACATCCAGTTTCCTTATTTTTCACAGGAGCAGAGTTACCAGCGATGTCAGATACGAGAATGGTAGAGCCAACGAGCTCGAACTGAACCGAGAGGATATGAAGAAGCTCTTGCTCAGCCTTGCACTTGGGGTAAAGAGTACAGCTATTATCGATAACGTCAAATGCGATCTTGTAGAATTGCACTACATCAACTACCTTTGGTGCTTCCACCATCAACTATGGCTTTATCGTCGTGAACTCCACTGCCATTGCCTTTTCGGCTCCTCCGTTCTGGCCTCCTGCTACATCATTGATGAAAATAAACAAAACTCTTCACAAGAATGGGAATTGGAGCTTATAGGCATGTGGACTTCTGAACTAAAATCTCTCAAAAATCAATTTGTTGGCTTTATCAAATCATTTTACTTTTCTGGTTTGCTTCTTTCCCTTTCTCGTTTGCTTCTTTCTTTCTTAGACTTGCAGTCAGTGCCAATCTCTCAAAAATCAATTTGTTGGCTTTATCAAATCATTTTACTTTTCTGGTTTGCTTCTTTCCCTTTCTCGTTTGCTTCTTTCTTTCTTAGACTTGCAGTCAGGGCACTTCTTTCCTTGCTTCTTCCCACCAGCTGGTGACTCTACACGATGGTCTACTGCATATTGTTGCTCTAAACATAAGCTATACCAATTTCTCTATTTCACTACTGATTTTCTTGCGTGTTTATGATCTTTAGATTTTTTTTTATGATTCATTTCTGATTTCTCTGTTCTGTTTTCGTTCCCCTGTTGCTGTTACTGTTTATAGGACCAGATCAGAAAAATTTATGATCAGATCAAAGTCCTCGTTCGACTGGGTTATTAAAAACTTAAGATTCATGTACCTCATATTAAAACTTACAGGAACTCTATAACCTCAAATTTAGGACAAAGATATATTTTTTTATTTTTTATCATTAAATCTGGTTAAATTAATGATAAATATAATAAAATAAATAAATCAACTAAAAAATAAATAATAAATAAAAAAAAAGATCAATTTAATCTGTTAATTGGATCATAAATTGAATCTAATGGACTTAAACCCAATCCTTATTAGACTAAACCCAATAATTTTAGACTCGAACGAAAAAAGATGTCTACAATCATATTACATATTAGAACAATTTTACATTAATTTGAGGGCCACTGACCAATTGGCCAGGTGCACAACCCCAGCCAAAGTACTCATGTTAGTGAGTTTGACTGGTTACTTGAATACATGCATTTTGCCTAATTAATCAAATAAGGAGGATGAAAGACACTTGGTGGATCTAACGGATCCTGTTTATTATAATTTTTTGATGGAAGCAATATCATAAGAAATCCTAAGATAGTAGTGGGATTAATTCAATCTTGAAGTAGTCATGGTTCCCATTTCCCACGAAACTCATCCAAATCTCTGGCAAGATCTTTTATGTATATGCCATCATCCTTAGCAGTCCAAATGCAATTCTTCCATGAACACTTGTGAAAGAGAAGCACATCTTGCCAGAACACCTTGAACGCAGCATGAGCATTGTCGTCCTTGCTCACGTAGCACCAGAAAAGCGTTCGGCGAAATATATTTTGCTGAAAACTCCAAGTGAAATTTGTTCCTGCAGACAGATTCTGGACGCCTAGATCATCGTCTTTAGACTTGCAATGGAGAAACAAAGTGGTGTTATTGCTCAATCCATTGACAACGTAGACATGCCACCTTATAAATTCCGGAGACAAGCCCCCTTGGGGTGCAACGAAATATGGATGAATTACTATGGCTATTGCCGAAACAAGCAGAAGAAGAACCAGGGTATTAGAAGATCTCATTGTTTGAAAACAAAATTTCAATTTTTTTCAACTAGTGACTCTCAGTTTTCCCTCTGATTTTATAGCTAAATCTCGGCGTGGGAAACTTTTCTAGTGCAATTGCGTGTATTAATGGTGTGGCATGCTCGAATTGAAGTTTTGAGAGAATGGAAAGTCATTTTTATCAGAAAAATGAAAATTAAACGTGCATATAATTTAAGTGATATTGAATAGCACTAGCTAACCTGGAAGGAAGATAGAGAGTTGAAACTTGGAAGCCAAAACATTTTAATCTTTCAGTTCAGTCATGCATAAATTATATATTTTGAACTAATCAAAATTATTCAGTTTAATTGGTTTTTTTTTTTACTTAAAAAATCGAAAACAAGACATATAATGAAAAGGAAATGTATCGAAACTAAAGAGAAATCATTTAAAACACCCATTTTATTACTTTGAAGTTTGAGTTATAGCTTGGGGCAAAGATTGAATTCCCTTCCAAAATCATGATCATTTTCCCCATTTCTAAAGGAGTAAAAGACTGCCTGGTAGTCATCCAAATCCAACCACACTCTTAAGTCAGAAAGGGGTGTTGCTAAGCAATTGGACTCGAAATCCAAAATCAAAGCTGTCCCATTTAAGGCGAAGGCCCATTTGCTGATTTACACAATTACAGAAGGGTATCTGAGGCCTTTGTTGCCTGAACTGATGATATCCAATGGAATTTCTTGCATGGGCAAACTCCACTACCCATTATTTCAGGCTAACTGAGTTTATAGACCCAACCCAAGGTTTCAATCAGTACGGAATAGGCTTTTCCTTTCCTTCCCAATTTTCCCAATCAAGCATATGTATGCAAGAATCAAGATTGTGTAAAATGGAGCAATCTATTTGTAGACATTGGAGGTGCCCAATTTAGCTGGGCCCTAGATTTAGGCCTTTATAGGACTTAGAAAGTTGGGCCATGGTGGGCCTTTTTAGCAATATATTTGTCTTTAAATCGGTTCCCAGCACATACACCAGCCGAAGTTTTTTAAGTGAAAATAGTAAAATTTTTTTATTAAAATCATTAAACAAAATTAAAAATTAAAAATGTAAATTGATTGGTTAAAATGTTTTTTTACGTTAAATAAAGACCGATCAAAATTTGATTATAAATAATGTTTTAATATTATTTTGTATATTATTAATCTTTTCATTGTCTTTATTAATTTATAAATTTTAATTTTAAAAATAATTTTTTTCACTTTATATATATATATATATATATATTCCCTTTTCCAATCTTAAAATTTGACTTTACCCCGTTTCTAGAGGAAAATAATGTAACAACATATATTAAGTGAATGTTATGAATAATTTTTAAATTATAATGAAATATTTAATGTGATATTTAAATTTAAAAATTTTTTAATGTGATATTTGAATTATAAATTTATTAATTAATATATTACTTGAAAGATTATTTTTTATCATATATTATCATTTAAAATTAGTCATGTTAGGAGTAAGTATTACTTTAATTAAAAAATTTATGATTTAAGTATTATTGTAATTTTAAAAAAAATTTTAAATACCGTATTAAACTTTCACTATAATTTAGGGATATTTATGATATTAATCTTTTATATTATTACCATTGAAGAAAAAAAAAGTGAAGCAAATGTTAATATAGATGGGATGCATATATGGTTTTCCCAAATTAATAAAATACAACCAATAATAGTAACCAAAGCCAAAATTAACTCTCCACCTCCACCAATTCCTTTCGCTAAACTGATCATAGTAATTACTGCTAGTATTTGCTATGAAGTGATATTGTCCACATCTCAGCATCTTCCCTCTCTTAAATGACAGACAGACACAATCAATGTAGTTATTTCATGAAAGTGGTGTGCTTTGTGCAATTGAATAGAATACTAGTTTTTTTTTTATATTTTTATTCTGTTTTTGCAGTTGATTCTGCATCTTCTTTGCTGTTTTCTTACATCTAAGTAACTCTTGTCTTCTTATTTGACTGATTTAATTTCCAACAAGAGAGCCAGCAATAACCAAGGAAGGTGAGTGATATCTGTCATCTGCTAGCTGATAAATTGGTTGAATTGAACATTCATGGCTTATTTAAAGATTAATCATGGTTTCATCTTTCTGACAAGACAAGGATATCCAATAATGTTTGTTTTCTTTGTATACATGGATCCACTTATAGAAATTAACCATCAGATTAAATTAAGGTTTTCAATCTATACCATGGTGAAGAGTTACTTTAAAACATATACAGCAAAAGGATGATGTTTTGGTGCCATGTTAACTAAAAGATGACCGATCTATACAACAGATTCTATATATTTTCTATGTAATTTTTATTGGAAAGATAAATCATACTTGGAATCTATGAAAGCGTATCAAAAAGTTCATATATATATATTATATAATTTGAATTTAAAAGTTTAAGTTATTGAGTCTTCTATGTATATATAAGATATTTCATTTAGATTTTTTAATAATGTAAAGTTTTTTATTCACATGTGAATCATTTCAATAATTTTTCTCATTCATTTGTGAATTCTCATCAAATTTTATTTCGACTTTTTCGTGTGAGTAAATTTTATTTATATATTCAAATTTGTGACATTAACTATATCAATTATTGAAGAGATAAGTTATACTTAAAATTTATGGAAATATATCAAAAAGTTAATACATATATTTTAAATATTATTTAAATCCAAAAATTTAAACTATTGAATTTTTGAATTCTCTTTACATGTATATATATATATATATAAATATTTCATTCAAATTTTTTTAATGATATAAGATTTTTTTTGTCGGTAACCATGCAACAGTTTTTCCCTCAACTGATGAGTTAAGTCAAGTGTGTACAACCAAGGCCCATGTGAAGCTGTTTTTGCCAGAATATTAATAAGGAGTGACTCTATAACCTCTAACAGCTATTCGACCGCAGCAGTAGCTGTAGGTAAAGTCTTATTCTTTTGCAAGTTTTTCGATCAGTACTGATTCAACCCCATTTAATTTAGTTGCTACACCTAGTAAATTGGATTTCAGGTTTTGCTGCCAACCAAGCTAACAGTAGGTCACCTCATTAATGAAATATTTACCCAACAATTAAAACCTGTCATGCATGGCCCGTTTTTGCTGTTGTTTTTTCTCATTTCTGAATTATGATATCTCTCAAAAAGTCAAAACTTTTGACAGATGATTTTAAAGATATATCTGATCCGCTCTTATTTGAGAGCTTTTACTAGCATGGACCAGCACCACCTAAATTTCGAGAGGGCCTCAACTCTCGATTGGTCTCTGATTAGATCAATTCAAAAACCTATTATAACAAGAACTACTCCATTAAAATTGTAGTAAATTTCACCAACTATTAGTTGTGTACGTGCTGCCTTTTGAGTGTTTTGTGGTTGCTCTTATACACATAACATCCTCTACTTTACACACTAGCATTAATGTTATGGGAAAAGGTGAGCGCGTCTTCTGCCCCAAACTCCAAATTTTGAAGCAGATCTGTAAATCACACGTCCAAAGTCTTTTTCCAATGATAGAAGCTTGTTTAATTTCTAATTGTTATTGTTGTAATTATACTAAAATATAATTGAAATTTGTATGTGTAAAAACGGTAAGATCATATATAGTATGTTAATCATTGGATGGAGTCGTGTCTACTTATAGTAACAAACTCGAAAGTTCGCCATAAAATAGAACCATCATCAGAGTTGTTAATATTAAAATAGGCAAAAGAGTAAAAAAACAAGTTTTGAATAAAATTCAATAATCATTGAAATCTTTAATATTTTATTATAATTAATCAAATCCTGATTTTTTTTTTATTTTGGATCAATTAAATCCTTAAAGATATATTTTTATCTAATTAAATCTTTAAATATTTATTTTCACTCCAATTGAACAATTGATTAAACGAAAATGAGATCAATTTTTATCTAATAAGAACTTAATTGATAAAAATAAATATTTGAGAATTTAATTAATTGCAATAAAACAATGGGGTTTAAATAATTATTGAATTTTTATTCAAAATTGTTTTAATCTTTTAGCCTTTAATTAATTAGAAAACAACATGGAGTTTTGTTCTGGTTATGGTGACGTAGGATTGACATACGTTGTCATGAGAAATTAATAGAAACATTTAGATCGAGAATAATGAATATTATTTATTTTTATAAAAAAATCATGAATAATAAAAAAAGGTATAAATATTAAATTTTAAAATTCAAATTTACTGGAAATATTTTTTTAAGATGTAAAATTAATTGAACTAAATCATGAATTCGATATTATTTCTGTTTTTGTATGTGGCTTTTTTGCTGCAAGAGTATCAAGTAGATCTTGTAATAATAAAATAAATTAAGTTGTTATGTTGATCAATAACTCCGGTATAGTTTGATAACAAAAGTTGTCTGATTCTTTTTTAATAAAAAAAAAAAAAACAAAGAAAATGACGTATTTTGATTTTTGCCTCAAATAAGTCAAACTGATCATGCCACGTCAATCACTCAAACGAATCTAGTTTGATTATTACAAATCAAATTCAGATGGATATGGTTGGATTAATAAGAAGAGGCCCATGAATCTTTTTGAAGAAAATGAAACGTGATATGATGCATGTAGATTTGGTAATTTGTATCATTATATAATATAAAATATTATATTTTTATCATATTTTATATAAAAATTATGTATCATAATTTATGTCGATAAAAAAATAAAAAATAATTTTTTTAATTTTATTAAATTTATTTAAAATTTTTTAAAAATTTTAAAATTTAAAATTTATTATTTTTATATTTTTATTTATATCATTTTTATATTATATCACTGTATCATATTTCGAATAATTTTCATATCATTTTTATTTTCACATCATACCATTAATCGTATTTTAAATTAAAAAATCTATGTGCAAATGTCTAGAGTAAAAAACTAAAGTAATACTTGATTATTATTATGGTCCTGTAGGATTTAGGATTATTAAACCCCACGAATCGAAAACGTCTAGTCTTTGAATGCATTAGCATTTGCTTTGGGTACGTATTTACAATGAACTTCCCTTTGTTTAAGCAATTTAATAGCAATTCTTTTTTTTTTTTTTAAATGAGGTGAAAAGTATAATAAGATGGGAACGAACGAAGGTTTTGAACTTTGAAGTTAAAGACTCGATCTCCATGTAATATATGGTAAGAACAAAGGATTTATATACGGATATGAGGTAATTAATTTGGGTGAGAAACTAGACAATTCTAGAGCTAGGGAAATAAGAGAAGTACAACAACAGATAGAAGAACGTAACAGAAGATTAAAAGTTTATTTACGTCAAATATCCATTACAATGACATAACAACGTTGGATTCAAATGAAAAAACATTAGCAAACCAAACATAAGTAAACAAAAGAAGACGATTTCTGACTCACACAGAATAAAAACTGAACTACATATGCAAAACACTTGGGATAATTTATATCCTCTAAGATGGGTTAAATTATTTCTGGTAAAGCCCGCTAATTTTTCAAGGAAAAGGAAGGACACCAGTGCCAACAGCAGCACCAGTTCCACCTCCAACGCCAACTCCGCCGCCAATGCCACCTCCAACGCCAGCGCCACCGCCACCACCCAAGCCTCCAAATCCCCCAAGTCCACCGAGTCCACCAGCTCCTCCAAGTCCACCTATACCACCAAAGGGAGTAACCCCACCTAAGCCCCCAACTCCACCACCAAGTCCACCTAGACCACCTGCACCACCAAGGGGAGTGATCCCACCAAGACCCCCAGCTCCACCGAATGGCAAGCCATTAGAGCCAATTCCAGAGAAGCCCCCAATGCCACCATAACCAAGGAAGTTCTTCTGCTCCTCAACACCAGCTGCACCACTAGGCACACTACTAGGCACGGTGCTAGTAGGCACAGTAGTAGTAGCTGTGGGCACAGTAGTAGTAGCTGTAGGCACATTTCTTGCGCTAGCGTGAACCACAACTAATGCAAGAACAAGCACAACACTCCACTTTGCCATATCTCTTAATCAAGCAAAAAAAATTTAAAACTCTCTCTTCTCTCTCTCTCTCTCTCTATCTGGCTGTTTCTTAGTATATGATGTCCATGTTGAAGATCTCCTTTTAAAGGCAAAAAATAAAAAGGTCTGGTAAGGGGACAGTTATGAGTATTGAATGGAATTTAAATGCAGGCACAGAGTTTTGATGTTTACAAGAGCGTGCGCTGAAAGGACAGGGGTTATATATCTTAATAAGGGTTTAAACAAGATTCTACGAGGTTTTGAATGGGTTTTTAAATGTTTATAATATAATTTGAGTTATATGTATGTGTGTATAAATATTGTAGTCATAGATAATAATATAAATATTGTACATATGTATATTTATATATTTATAATTTTTTAATCAGACACGTGTATATATATATATATTGTAGTCATAGATGGTAGTATAAATATTATACGTGTATATATTTATATATTTATTATTTTTTAATCAAATGCATGTAAATACATATATATATATATATATATCATATGAGCTACAAGGGATGGATTTATTGATGTAAAACCATAGAATAAGAGAGCCGGCCTAGCCTACAGTATAAGAGTTTGTATTTGTATTTATGCTTGTTAATTATTATTATTCGCCTGTACTATATATATATATATATATATATATATATTTGGACTTGAGCAATTTAGAGGTGTCAACCTCGCCAAAATTAATTTATTTGCGTAAAATGTAGACTACAAAAAGAACACAAACGATGAATTACAAAGCGAAAGACACAAACCAAAACATAACACAAGGACACAAACATTTCAACACACAACGACGTTAATACCCTAGACTGCCACACTCTCTTGAGCAACAATATATCGTATTACTCTAGCACAAGTTAAACTATAGTTACGGTAAAGCCCCATGCATCAATTCAAGGAAAAGGGATGACACCAGTCCCACTGCCACCACCAACACCACCTCCAATTCCACCACCAGCACCAGCACCAGCACCAGCACCATCACCTCCAAATCCGATGCCAACTAATCCGCCAAGTCCACCTGTGCCATCGAGCCCCGTGATACCACCAACACTCCCGACTCCTCCCAGTGGCATGCCATTTGCTCCAATTCCAGAGTAGCCTCCAAAGCCACCATATGTGAGGAAGTTCTTTTGGTCGTTAAGACCAGCATCGCTAGGCACATTCCTTGCACTAGCGTGAACCACTACTAGAGCAAGAACAAGCACAAAACACCACTTTGCCATCTCTTTAGTTATATTTAATATCAAAACCCTATCGATCTCTTATTTGGTTAATTCTCTCAATGTTTTGCTTTGTGCTTGATGCATGTTTCGAGGATCTCCTTTTATAGGGGAAAATAGCAGTAGCCAGACAGTTGCAAGAATTCAATGTAGTTAAATGTGACCGCTAAGCTTGGTGCCTCTAAAATTTTCTTTCGAGGTATAATTAGCGAATTTGATGATCTCTCAATGATTTCAAAATGTATAGCTGAGACTCTTAAAAAAATATTGGTAACAAATTATAACGATACATAAATAAATATGTAATTGAATTTAATATTTCATCTTTCCTAAAGTTATATAAAATATATTATATTATCATTTAAATAGTCAAATTAAATTATGAATAATTCTTGACAAATTTTGAGCAGTTCCTACAGCAGATATTGTAATTATTTTTTTCCTTGAATCAATAGTGAAACAAGCAAAAGGAAAAATCCCAAAAAAAAAAAAAAAACAATATTAATATGATATGGATGCTGATTTTGAGACAAATTCTTTGATTCATGAGCTTTTAATTTTCACTGATGCATGGAGTGTACTTTTACAAGCTTGATTTTCTTTTGTAATGGTTCAAGATGAGGGAGTAAATGTGTAATAGTTACACTATAATGACATATGTATGTATATATGTAAGTATGTATGTGGTAATAACTTGGTAATTAGGTAAACTCTTTCAATTTGTTACAGCTGTAGCTGCTAGCTAGTTAGTTATATGTATGGTCATCTACTATATATTCATCATTTGGTGATAACCAACTCTCTTGCGATCATTAATTAATTAATTAAAATTTGAAAACTTGGTTTTGATTAGTCCAATCATATTTCTTCCGCAAATTGGAGACCAAAGGGAGAAAAAGAAAAGCTTTAAACCTAGCTCATTTTTTGCGGTAAACCAACCAGGATTTGCCATTATTGCATGCATGTGAACTGTGAAGTATATATGTATGTTAATGAGAAAATATGACAAACTTCTTTTATTTTATTGTAGAAATTAATCAATTCCCACCGAAAATAAAAAGAGAAATTATGAGGAATATAAATATAAATATATATATATGTAAGGAGGAATCTACTTATATTAATATTACCTTTAAACCAAACTTAAATTTATTACACTTACACTTAGTCATTTTGATCTAAATATAATAATAATAATAATAATACTTACATTAGTTTAAGTGGATCACTCATATCTTTATATATATGAAAATGTTTTGTACATATCTAATTTTGGCGACTTAAGCATAGTTATCAATTAAGTTTAAGCTAGTGATATGCACATCATTAATTTGATATAGGTTATAATATGAAGAAAAACTAACTAAATCACCCACAAAGCTGGATTAGGATTATAATAAGTAATATGCCCATTGAAATTTAATAATTTCATCCTGTTTTATATTTAAAAAAATATATAAATAAGATATAAAATGAAATCAAAAAAAGAGAACATAAAAGCAATATTTTTTTCTTCAAATGTATACTACCAATATCATTTCATGTTTTTGAAGAATAAAATTTTAGTTTAATTGAAAAATCGCTTGAGGCATGTATACTTACTCCTATTTTTGTCAATCTTAAGTTCTTGTTAAGCATTAATTAAGTTTGGTGTCGATTGAGCTTTTGCATATTAACGATAATGGAGTCTGGTTAAATTGATATATCTCAAATTTCAATTTTTTTACAAAAGAAATCAAAATTTAAGAGAATTGAGAAAAAAAAAAAGAAATTTGCAAGGATTAGGGTCAATGTGAAAATTCAATTTTAAATTTCTTAGGGCCAGAAGCCAATTATAAAGCTACTTAATGTGTGCCAAATTTAAGGTAGGTCCATTAATTTTATATGGTACATTTCATTAATTAATTTATGTAGCTGGCCAAAATATTGCCACCTTGCCAGACTAATTTGTTTACGTAAAATATGATCCATTAGGAGAATATAACCAAGTACAAACTAAGAACACAAACGAAACATCGATAAACTTAAGAACATAACCCTCTCGACTCTAAAGCACGACAACGTTACTAAGTTTAACTGCCAAAAGAATATAAACTCTAAAACAAGTTACTTAGCTATAATTAGGGTAAAGCCTTCCATTTCAAGGAAATGGAAGAGCACCAGCACCACCTCCAACTCCACCAGCAGCGCCACCACCACCAGCACCTCCAACTGATCCACCGCCAGCACCAGCACCACCAATGCCACCCAAGCCACCGCCACCAAGTCCTCCTAGACCTCCATTTCCATCAAGCCCAGTTGCACCGCCAAGGCCCCCAACTCCACCGAATGGCAAGCCATTAGAGCCAACACCAGAGAAACCGCCAACTCCACCGTAACTGAGGAAGTTCTTTTGGTCTTCAAGACCAGCACCTGCAGGCACATTTCTTGCAGTAGCGTGAGCCACAACCAATGCAAGAACAAGCATAACAATACTCCACTTTGCCATAGATCTGCTCTCTCTATGAATATATCTAGCGAGTCTGCAGCCCCTCTTTTCTATCATTCCGTAATCTCTATATCTGCTGGTGTTGAGAATCTCCTCTTATATAGGGAGAAAAGACAGGTAGGGGACCGTTGAAAACATTGAATGGAGTTAAATGCAGGCGTAAGCGTAGCCTTATGATGTCTAAAATTTCCAAGACCGAGGTCTTGAGAGCTCTCCATTTTAGGCTTTCTTTTAAGCTCTAAATTATTTTGTAGCCTAGTTATATATCAGGTTAAAATAAAAAGTGTATATATTTGTGTAAACTGAAGGGTAAATTTAATAAGGCCAGTGGTACAGTGAGTTAGCATGTGATAAGCTTTATCATGTCGGGATGTTTCAAACACATGCATTGTAGGAAAAATGGCATTTCGCCATTGCCAGTTTGCACAACCTGAGAGGTTTTGCATCTTCATCCAACATTTCAAATGAATAAGTTGTTGTTGATGGAAAACAATTCATTGTTTGCTAGGAACTGCATCTTTCTAAGGGGCCTGGCAATACTGTAACTCAACTGAAGGTGAAGGCGTATGCTTTTGTTGTGATCGATAATCCTGAAATTAACTTTTGATGTCTTTATCTTTATGCATGATTTTGGAGAAAGGGATAACGAGAACTTTTGGTAAAAGCCCTTCAATACGTGGCTACTTTACATCAACATTAATATAGTCGAAAGCTCAAAACCATTTACATAATGTTAAGCTAAACTGGCATATATATATATATTTATATTTATATAGAGAGAGGGATTTGCTTACACGAGTGTAAAATTAAAAAGTTTTACACTTTTTTTTGTTTTATACTTTTTTTAGTCATTGATTTTAATAGTAAGAATTTAAAATGTGATTATAATTGCATTTTTTATAATATCATATTTATTACGATTACAGATATAATGGATAAAATAATAGTAGTTGTGCTCATCATACTCGTAAAGTTTTTTAAAATTTTCACAATTTACTATAAAATGAAGCAAAAGAAAAGTTTGATCATAATAATATTTATTTATGATATTTAAAGTCATTTATAATATTTTAATTTTATATTTATAAGATAAAATAATTTTTTTATATATTTTAATTATAACTTAGAATCAATACGCTTATTTAAAATATATTTTTTAATATATCTATAAATTTAATAGACATAAATGCTATGAATACATATGATGGATAAAATATCTTTATTTTGAAGTAAATGATGGACAAAATACTTTACATGTTGTTAAGCTCATAAATTAATTTAATTAGAAAAATAACATTTTATATTTTTTATAACATATATGATCCTTGGGATGATGATTAAAACTAAACTGTTTAAGCATGGATACATATATTTTCTCACTATACAAATTCATAGCTAAAATTTTAAATAATTAATTAAGCAAAAATAGCTAATAGTTAGTGACCTAATTTTTGTCAATTCATAAAAAATATAATTAATAATAACATTATTAATATAAATTTATATAACAAAATTAATTCTTTTAAATGATGATATATGTATAAAGCTCATAAAAAATAAATCCACTAATCAACAACACACAAAGAAAAGGTTTGATTAAAAGCTAAATTATAATAAAAAAATAATTGATCTTAACTCAAAAAGAAGGCCCAACTATACGTTTAACACAAACTTGTTGTAAGATTTTTTATTTGGTTCCGCTCTATTGGCTTTTGGGGTGACACTGCTCATTAAATTTATAGTTCTCATTTAGTTAATTTAAAATATAATATAGTAACACAATATCAAAATGATATTAATAAAAATATAGAAATAATATAGTTTAAAATTTAAAAAAAAATAAATATATTTAATAAAATAAAAAATTATATTTTATATTTTTGTGTAGACATAAATTATAACACATATTTTTATGTAAAATATAACATAAATATAATATTTTACATGATATAATAATACAATTTGCTAGATATATTTTGATTGGATGCCACACGTGACAGTATCCTTTCAAATCCCTACCAGCTCTACTCTCCCCTGTTTCTGCTTTGTCTTTTCACTCTTTCTTCCCCATCCCATAACAAAGCCACCATGACTTGACCCAACCAACCACTCCTGCTTCTCAAATCTTCACTGTCTCCCTCAAGCGATTTTTTTCTCTAAATTTTTATCTGTGTCTCTCAAGTCTCAAGTATAAGTTTGGAGAAAATGGCATGGCACTCAACTTCAGGCCACTGGCGATGGTAGCTCTAAGAGAGCTCTTTCTTTCTCTATTTTCTAGTTTTATGTTTGATTTGAAAAAAAAAAGCACAAATAACGATTTTAGTAATCTATTATGATAGTAATTTTTCCTTATATCATTATTTATTGGTGCGATATATTGTTATTTGTGTGAATGACTATTGCAATGAATAATAGTAGCGTAGGGTAACGTTATCATTAAATAGTAACTAGTAGCCGCTACACCACATTATGAACGTTATTTAAATTCATATTCAAAAAATTTAAAGGATGAGAGAGACAAATGAAAAAGAAAGAAAAAAATATTTAATTTCATCCTTTAATTTATTGAAATTAATGATTAAAAATATATATAAAATCTTTTTATGCAACTTGATCTTTGTGTGTGTGTCCATTCATCTAACACCGAGTTTGGTATGAAAGAAATAGGAAGTAAAGATAGTGGTTACTTTCTTTATTTTCAATGCATTTACTTCTAATTAATTCTTTAGTTTTGTGAATAATAAAGTATGTTATTAAAAGGAAATTCGCAAGGCCTGGAAGAAAAATTGGAGGTAATTAAACCTAACCCTACCAATGATATTGACTCTTAATATTTAAGAGGCCATTTTCATCGTGATCTCCTGCATGCATGCATGGTTCATGCAGCAGCACAACAATTTTCAGTGAGTTCCTCCTAAAACAACATAAAACTGAGAAATGAAGAAACATTTCAAAGATTTATTTTATTTTAGTTTTCACTTATTGATTAATCTCAAAACAGTAAAATAAAAACTGATTATTATGACAATAACCTCACACGACGATTGCTAGACATATATAAAGTTACTGAATTCGCAAATATAGATAATGTTTTCTGCAGAACTTAAGGATGAAGCAAGGAGCCGGCACCACCATCAGCAGAATCACCACTTCCACCAGTACCAACAGCTCCATCAATGCCACTCACAATACCACCAACAGTACCGCCAAGATCTCCAAGACCTCCCATGGCACCACCCAAGCCACCAAAGCCGCCTAAATCAGGGGAACCGCCAAGTCCGCCAATTCCACCCCCAATGCCGCCAAGGGCACCGTCGCCACCTCCAGCACCAAATCCAGCTCCGGCTATGCCACCAACACCACCGAATGCAACGAAGTTCTTTTGGTCACCAAGACCAGTGCCAGAAGGCACATTCCTAGTAGCCCCGCTGCCGTGAATAACTGCAAGAGTCAGTACAAGAATCATAAAACACTTTGCCATCTCTCTCTCTTTTTTACTCATCTATCTCTCTGCGGTAGCTGTAGTACTCTTTCTAACTCGAGAAATTGTTAATTTGCAAGCTGAATTCTGGTGCCATTAGATCAGTCCTTTTAAAGACAACCTTAACTGTCTAGTGGTAGTTGTTTGCCTTAAATGAGTTTGAATGCGAGTCCATATCACCCACCGTCTGCATTAAAAGCAGCACATCCTTCATGAAATTAAACCTTTACACTGCGTTAGGTAACAAGGTAGAAAACACTACAAAAAAATAAAAGATTAGTGATAGTTTTTGTAGCAGTGTTTCACTTTAAAATGCTGTTAACTTTCATATTTTTATAAAATTTAAGGTGTTTTTTTATCAAAACGTTACAAATATTCAAATATTAGCGTTAGTACTTATAAATGCCACTAAAAACAAAAATTAGTGGCGTTTATCGACTAAAATACCTTAAATAATCATTTCTAAAAAATTAGAGTGATTATTGAAGGTGTTTTTTATAGACAATGTCTTGAATAATCCCCTCATAAAAAATAAAGACGATTATTGAAATGTTTTCTGTCACGCCTTTAATAGTTTCCCTAAAAATTGGAAAAGCTTATTGAAAGCGTTTCTGATCAAAAACGCCTTCAATAAATTTTTTTGTCAATAAATTTACAAAAAATAGAGTAGTGTTATCGGTTGGAGCATATGGTTATTAACCATAAGATCGTAAGTTTGATTTTTTTTCTTTAACATTTTTTGAGTTTTTTTAAGAGATTATTCAAGGCGTTTTTAGTCAGAAATGCCTTGAATTTTCTCCAATTTTTTAGAAAAATTATTAAAGGCGTTTCTGGTAGAAAACGCCTTTAATAATCGCTACCATTTTTATGAAGAGATTATTTAAGATATTTTCTGCAAAAAAATATCTTTAATAATAAAAAAAATGAAAGGAAATTATTCAAGGCATTTTTTGTCAGAAACGCTTTGAATAATCTTTAAAAAAAATTAGAAGAGATTATTGAATGCGTTTTTAGCCAAAAACGCCTTGAATAATTTTTTTAGGGAATATTCAAAGTGTTTTTTGCTAAAGACGTCTTGAATAACCTCATTTAATTTTTTGTAAGAGAATATTAAAGGTGTTTTTTGGCCAAAAATGCTTGAATAATCCCACCAAAAATCATCTTGAATATTCCCAAAAGAAAATAGAAAGATTATTACAAGTTTTTTTTTTTGCAGAAAACACATTGAATAATCCAAAAAAAAAATATAAATGAGATTATTCAAGGTATTTTGAGCTAAAAACGCCTTGAATAACTCCAATCATTTTTTGTAAGGGATTATTCAAGTCATTTTTTGATAAAAAATATCTTGAATAATCTCCTAAAAAATGAAAGAGGATTATTCAAGGTGTTTTTAGCCAAAAAGATTTTAAATAATCTTCAAAAAAAAAATTGAAAGAAATTATTGAAAGTATTTTTGACCAAAAATGCATTGAATAATCTAAAAAAAATAGAACGGAATTATTCAAGGTGATTTTTGGCAAAAAACACATTGAATAATCTCTCAAAAAAATTAGAAGGGATTATTGCAGGTGTTTTTGGTTAAAAACGCCTTGAATAATCTCAAAAAAATTGAAGGAGATTATTAAAGGTATTTTTGACAAAAAAACGTTTTAAATAACCCAATTCAATTTTTTTAAGAGATTATTTAAAGTGTTTTTTGACCAAAAATACCTTGAATAATTTTCAAAAAAATTTGGAGGAGATTATTGAAGGTATTTTTTACAAAAAATACCTTTAATAATCTTTAAAAAAATTTGAAGGGAATTATTGAAGGTGTTTTTTATCAGAAACACCTTGAATAATCCCAAAAAAATTTGAACAGGATTATTAAAGGTATTTTTAGACAAAAATACTTTCAATAATCACACTTTTCCGCTGTTAAATTTTTCTTAAATTTAAAACTTGTGAAACCTCCTTTTTGTTTTTCTTTCCTTATTCATTTCTTCAATTTTTGCTCATTTTGATTGCTTTCTTCTCTTCTTTTGCTTAAGTTTCAATCATTTTATGTGAATTTTAATCTTATTTCCTTTCGTTTTTACAAATTTTAAGTTAGCTTTCTTGCATTTTAAATTAAATTTCTAAACTTATTGTTTGATTTGTTAAGTCAAATCCCTAAAATTCTTGTATGATTTATTGCGTTTCTGCTGCCATTCAATCTCCATTGGTAAGCTCTATTTTAATATTGACAATTTTAAGCATTTGGCTGTTCTTTTTCTTTTTTTACCAATTTATTTCGTTATTATAGTTCTGAATTTGGTTTTATTTGATTGGTGAGAAAAATTCAAGATAGAGCATAAATTGATCATTGAATTTAGTTACAAGCATGAATAAAATTTTAGATTTAGTTTTTTTTTCAACAAATTTTTTTAAAATTACTAAAAAATTGTTACTTTTTAACATAAATTTATTGATTCATTCAAGATATCTTTAGGAAACCAATGTACTAAAATAATTTAAATGTTATTACATGTATTATTAAACTTTGTGTTCTATCCATATTGGAACAAATTATGTATTTATAATATTCAGTTTATGAATTTAAGTTCATTTTTATTTCTTTTAATATTTTTTATTTAATGATAATAATCAATATTAAAAGAAAATTTAAAAAAATAATTTTTTAATTTAACGGCATTTGTACCTAAAAATGCCTCTAAATGCCAAAAATGTGGCGACGCTTTCTAATAAAACTTGCTAAATTTAATGATGTTTTCTAGTATAAATGGCTTTAAATTTAGTAGCATTTTTCTACTATAAACGCCTTTAAATTTAGCAACATTTTATGATAAAAATATTACTATTTTTTTTGACACAAGAATAGGTGATACTTTTAGCAATGTTTTTGGTAAATACTGTTAATTCTTTAATAGTATTTATAAACGTCGTTAAATATGAAAAAAAAAAAAAAAAACACTACTAAAAGCCTAATCCCTTATAGTGAAATGATATCATGGATGTATTGTTTGAACATAGAATGGATGCATAAGGATATCAATCAGTAGGAAGGACCACAAGATATTTTGAATGGAAAGTTTATCATCATAGTGAAACATATATACGCATGATCATAGCTTCTTGTCCATCTTTTTTTTCGTTTTATTTAACTCAGTAATGCATGGGTATTAGATATTGATATTGGTCTGCATTATTTATATTTTTCATGTATCTTCCATTGATATTTTTAATCTTGACAAGTTATTTCTCGTGCCATCTCATCTCTTTATTTATGCCTATAACTTGTGACTCACGGCAGTGTGGCCTAGCATATGCGTTCAACAGAGAGAGACTAAAATAAGAGGGAGATGTTACCCAAAAAAAAGGACTATCAATCCATCATCGATCCAAGCCAGTGTGTGTGGCACTGAAACGATTACATTCTCACCGACAGAATTGGGACCATGCAATTCAAATGGATACAACTGGCTTGTTCAGCAGTTAAATTCATGCATTGTGATCTTTTTAGCTTTGCTGTTAAATGTTCATCAACCCCCTTTTCACAGCTCCACGCCAAACTACATGTCTTGGCTGCCGCTGTCTAACCAACTCTAGCTATAATTCATTACTCACCGTTAGCTAACCTTTATAAATGCTTTGGTTGGTATAATTGGTTGTAACTATTTAGGGATGTTTCTAGATGTCCTTGGAATATCGCTTTGTTTGTTATTTGAAACTCCAAAGTATAAGATGAAACACTGTACCGTTGGAACCTGATGTCTCTGCTCAAATCTCCCTTCATCCTTATCACTTGAATCAAACCCAAGTGGAAATTAAATTTTCTTAAACCTCTCATCAAAGAGGTAAGATATTTTATCATGGCCCCTTTGGGGGCCCCTGGGAACTAGATCTTGCAAAAAAAGGATCTGGACCTCCAAGTTCAAATTCATTGCTGATTTCTATGTAGAAGAGATTAAAAGTTACCTGAATTTGGCCCAAATTTGGTCAAAAAGGTCCAAAACCATATCTAGGGATTAAACTTTGGGTTTGAAATTAGAGAAATAAAGCCTATCATATAGTCTTCCTTGCTCAACAGGATCAATTTCTTCACTCCTCTCTCCTCTGTCTACTCTTCCTTCCTACTCATGTGGATCTCAACTGAAGATCTGTTTTTGACATTTTGTTACAATCTCCCATGGTCTTGGTTTTGGTTCATCATAATTCATAATGATCTAGATACATACATATATATATATATATTTGTGATTTGGGCTATGATTTATTTGTTTGTTTTCACTTTGCCTAATTAATTAATTTAATTGATAATGATTTAAAGTAATTAACAATTACATATTTATTCAAGGCAAGAATATTATTTATTTAGAAGTGAATAATAATTGTATTTAATTCTTTTAAAAGAATTATTTCTTGAAATAAAAATGTATCCCATAAAATAAATTTATTAAAAGACACGTAATAATTTTTCAAGACCAATCACATGTTAATATTATAGATTACTCACTTATAATAAATTTTTTAACAAAACTTTGATTTTACGTATTTATATTAGATTAGTTCACAATCTTTATTGGAGGAAATTTTACGCCTTGTTGAAAGCACTCATTCAAGGGGATGTTTTAAGATGTCATAAAAATAAAACATCACCTTGTATAAATATATATATAATAATTTTATGTATTCCAAATATATAATTAAATAAAACTATTCATCACAAACAACATATTTAATTGCATGCAATAATAGCTCTTATATATGCTAAATGACAAGATGAATAATACATAATCAAATTCAATTGTCTATCTCCCCCCCACCCCCCCCCAAAAAAGGAAAGAAATTGACAGAAAAAATTAAAATAGTATGTAATCCCTAATTACCATAATTAGGGATTACATACTATTTTTAGCTTGGTTCTTTCGTTACTCAGGGATAATCCCTTTTATATTTAGGACACTTTGTTGTATAAATTGCAAAATACACAATTGAAAATACAGGAATTTTTTTTTTCAGCAGAGGGAGAATGACAAGAGGAAAATTTGCACCTCTAGTTCAACAAATTCTGGGAATAATATGTTTGGTTTTACTATGGAATTTAGGTAAACAATCTCTCTATCCCAAATTCGAGTGTTTGATTATTTCTGTAGCATATATATTCACTGATAAGTTTTCTTTTCT